CTGCCCTAATACTAATATAAATTATTCAATTCAAGGGGGAGGGGGAAGAGGCCGCCGCGACGCGTCTCGCCGCTCACTGCGGAGATACTTTGCGCGACCGGTGCCCGCCCGCCTGGCTCGATTTTCGCAGCTTCCCACCAAAGTCCAGGGGGGCGATGCCCCCCCTGCCAAATTCCAGGGGGGGCAGCCTGCCCACCCTGCACCCCACTTCCGGCGCCCCTGATCGCTCTCCGAACGAGGAATCCATTGATGGGGTCACACGATCGGTTCGAGTCCAGTTTAGCGACTCTGCAGCTCAAAACGCGTCTCGAGCTTTGGCCGCCTCCACCGGTCTTCTGGCCCACTGTACAGCACCCAGCAGCCGCGGCGGCCGTTGTTGCTCTGCTGCCGTTCCGTCCGTCTCATCTCGTCCATCTCAGTAATATGGAAATAAACAAGTTCCTAGCAGTAAAAAGGGAAGCGACCACTTCCTACCTGTCGCCGACCGCGGCGCAACGGCCAGCGCGTCCAGCGGCAGACGCGTGGCGCCGCGGCGCGACAAACGAATCATAAATTAGACTCATTTCGGCGCCATTTGCGTCCAGCTTGCCCAGTTTCCGGTGTCGCGACTGTCGCGCGAGAAATAAAAGGCCCAAAACATTCACCATAATCATACGGGGACTGCAGGCCGTCCAACCATCGCTCGCGTTATTGCTGCTGCGTGGAGCGGTGCGAGAGAGACAGAGCGATAACAGCGTTGTTTCGGAATCAGCCTGCGACCAGCAGAGTGATTCTCAACATCGCTTCGTCGCTGTCTCTGCCGCACTCATGGGGCGTCCTGGAGCGAGGGGGCAACCACCTTTGATGTTTCAGGACACAAGATTTCCCAGGGGAAGGGTTTTCGACGGATTTTACGCCCTGTGTGTGTACTCAGTACACCTAAGATTTCAGTGCGGTCAGGGAGGGGCAGTCGTTGTGGGAGAAGAAGAGCGAGGCCTTCGCCGTCAATGGCGGGGTGGCCTTTCCTTATCGTGGCAGCGTGGCCATGGCGGGGCGGGGCGGGGCGGGGCGGGCGGCGTGTGGCGTGGTGGGTGGGGCGGGGCGTGCTAGGAGTTCGCGGAATGCGTTTCACGATAGCCACGGCCCGAGCACAACAAGAGGATGGAGAGCCGCCGGCCTGGCCAGCACCCTTGCGACCGCTTGCGACGGTCCCCCGTGCGAATCGCCGTCGCGGCCTGGTCTAGCGTGGCGTGGCGTGGCGTGGCGTGGCGTGGCGTGGCGTGGCGTGGCGTGGCGTGGCGTGGCACGGCGCGGCGGGGCCTCGCGCTCGCGCCGCTGCGTCTCGCGCCCCGTGCCGCCGCGGTGCCGCGCCATGCCGTCCGCGCCATGCCGTCCGCGACGTGCCCGGCCGTGCCGCGCCATGCCGTCCACGCCGTGCCACGCCACGCCGTGCCGTGCCCGGCCTGTGGCGACGCGAGGCGCGAGGCCCCACAGGCGCGGACTCACGGCGCCCAGCGGCAGTTGTCAGTGGGTAGCGATCCCCGTCGGTCCCCGTCGGTTGCTGTGCCCAAGAGGTCATTTGAGCGCCACGCCGCCGCGGCCCCTCCGCCCCGCGCCTCCAGCCTGTCCAGCGTGCAGCCACCCCCTCCACCCGCTTCGTAAATGTGGATATCGGCGAGCTTGGCAGCCAGCAAGTGGACAGCGCCGTCACTCCGCGCGTACACCTTCGCGGCCGTGTACAAGCCGAGCCACCACGCCGCGCGCCGTCCTCGCGGACCCAGCGGACCTCTCGGGCCGTCCGGCAGGGCAGCGCGGTAGCCGGGCAGGGTGAACAAGACCACCAAGCAGCCCTCCAGCCTGCCCGCCAGCAAGCCCTCCAGCCAGCCCTCCAGCCAGTCCTCCACCCCTCCGGGCCGGCGAAGGACAACTGCATCAATCCGCCTTGCCGGGAGTAGAACCAGGGTCCGCGCGCTCCGCGGTCCCGCGTCCTAGCCGCGCGGCCACCGGGACACCCTGCGCTGCCCGCGGCGCGGCGCGCCCACGGCCCGCCGTGCCCGTGCGGGGTGCCCAGGCCGCGTAGGCCCCGGCCGCGTGCTCCGCCCCGACTTCGCCGACAGCGACATGGAAGAGTGAGGCCAGGCCGAGTCGACTTTGTGCTCCGCCGCGCGAAGGTGCCGAAGGTGAGTGCTTTGATAGTTAGTCACTTTCAAGCGTGCCGCGCTCGAAAACAAAGGCTTTGAAGAGGTGATCAACTTTGTCCGATTGGGTGAATTCAATCAATAGCTGCAATCGAAAGCAGGTTCCTGCGACCGGACACTACTTGCAAGACGACAACGGACGACAACCGGCTTAGCTGTCCTCTTAAAACTGTTCGGATTCGGTCGTAGGGCTACCATCTTTTTGTTGTGAATGCCGGTTTTCGATTGCAGCTATCGAATTTATCGAACAAAGTCGATTACCTCATCAAAGTCTCTTTTTTCTTTCCCGCGCGTGCCGTGTGCCGTGCGCCTTGCCCGCCGCCTTGCCCGCCGCCTTGCCGATAAGCCATCGTGCGTCCCGGCGAGGCTGCGGCTGCGCCACTGGCAGTGCCGTGGCACGCGCACGCGTCAAAGGCCGCGCGCCAAAGTCACTGTTCTCGATTCAGATGCGTTTGTAATCATTTGTCGCAACGGGGATTTGTGTGTTTTTCACACTAAATGTTCTGTACAGTTTTGTACGAGACATCACAGTTTTTTTTTGTGCACACGAACTTTTCGTACAATTTTTGTACAAAAACGAGCCGGCTTCAATTTTTGTACGAAAACCTGCACAAAATTCCCCATTTGTACGAATAGTTAGTGGGCACAAAAAACTGTGATGTCTCGTACATAATTTGTCGTACAAAAACATTTAGTGTGTTGTCACTACTCGGCACGCGACGCCGCCTAGTCCTTAATTGCGTTATTACCTCTCGCCTCGGAACAATGGCCCGCAAACATTTTTGATGAATGGCTCTGGAAATGAACTGCGACGGAAACTCGCGGCCTCCTCCCGAAAATAGATCGTTCCTGGGCAGGTGCCCTCACCGATAACTTTTGGGTGGAATTGGCTGGGCTCAAGGCAAGGCTCAAGGTCAATATCGACACATGCAAGTGCAATCTACAGAGAGCACACTTTTTCGCCTGTTGTTGACTCGGCGGCATCCGCCTCAGTCCTTCACCGAAAGCCGCATCCGGAAACCAAAAACGTTATCGGGCTGCCCTGCCGGGCCCTGAACAGGCTCTTCACGAAAACATCTCAATGACACACCACAATCACCAGCGATCCTTGTTCTTCATGTCGATCTAATCAAACCGAAGGGTCCTGCTCTTGGTGTGCTTCTGTGCACACTTCTCAACTGACATGACGGATCACACAACAACAAAAACTTGAAGGCGTGACGCTGTGACCCACCCCCTCACCTGAAAAGTTTTTTTTTTCTACAGCGAAAATTGTCTGCAGACGAAATCTTTGGCGGGTTTCTCAAATAATGACTTCGTGGATTAGAATTTGATGACGGTCACTACACGCTAAATTACTATGGACATTTTTCTAAAACTTTTGCCCTATTTATGCATCTAGGTTAAGTGCAAAATATGAAAATATTGTCCCTGAACGTCCCTAAATTATGTATTAAATTTTGCACAGCTCGCACGAATATAATAGTTATGGACAGCAAAAGTACATGGACATTTAGCTAGTGTGTATTAGCGGCTTATCCCAATGGTGCAAGGGCGTGCGGTCATTTTCCGAAAACCGCTATCGGACTCGGCCGGTCCGTTCGGCACACGTGTCCCTTGAGGAAGCCGAGCCGCCCCAGTCATTGAGAGTGTTGTCGCGTCACTCCGCTATCTGTCCGTCTAGAGCGCCCCAGCCAAGGCTTGCCCAAGGGCCGTAAAGGCATAAGGAGGGCTAATCCCTCATTCCGCGCTGCTCTCGCGTCGCGCAGAGCGCCGTCCGGGAGACTTGGATGCGTGTGGCGAGCGGGTACGCCACGAGCTAAGCCCGCACACTGATTCCGAGAGTCGTTTTCGCCGCTCTGTCTCTCTCGCACCCGCGGGTAACGCGCCGTGAGTGCGACAGAGACAGAGCGACGAAAACGACTCTCAGTCTGCAGACTGACTCCCAAGAGTCGCGTCGCTGGTTCGTCTCTCTCTCTCCCTTCCGAGGCGCCCCGCGCGCGCGAGGGAGACGGAGGGCTCTTTGGGACCAGCCGACTGCAGACGGCTTAGCCAAGCCAAACACCAAGCGCGCGGAAAAGTTTGGCTCAGACGTGTGCGAGAGAGACAGCCAAGGTTTATCTCCAGCTGCAGCTCTGCCAATGTAGCGCCAAAGGCGGCCAAAGGTGTTTCAAACTCTCCTGAAGTTTTTCGCGGTGATGTCGATGTCGAAAGTGATGCGGCTCCGCGTCAAGGACTCGACCGCGGACTGATTCCGAAAGTCGTTTTCGTTGATCTGTCTCTCTCGCTCTCATGGGGCGTCCCGTGCAGGCGCGAGAGAGACACTCTGCAAACTCAACGGTGTACTGCCAGCCTGACAGTGTGGGTGAGGGTCGCATCGTGGATGATAAGCACAGACCAGTCACCAGTCAATCAAACGGCCAGGGAGGAGCCGCGTTCTCTCTCTCTCTCTCTCTCTCTCTCTCTCTCTCTCTCCCTCTCTCTCTCTCTCTCTCTCTCTCTCTCTCTCTCTCTCTCTCTCTCTCGAGTGCGTCTCAGCGGCCTAATGACGGCTGTCCTCACTCAGTGTCCACTCACTCATTGTTCACTCACTCCGGCGTCCACTCCTGCATCCCCCCACTCGGTGTCCACTGCAACTTCGGCGTCCACTCTATCAGTGACCCACGCACGTCACGGGGGCACACGGCTGCTGAATGGCGGACAGGAAATACGACACTCGATTTCCGAGGAAGAGGCGCCGCATTAGGGCACGGCTAGCAGAGATAAAAGGGAGATTGAGGGACGAGTTCCGAAATGTTATTATTGACGGAGACAGTGGGTGAGTCAGTTGTTGACCGGACGTCCTCTCGGGAGTGCCGTCACTGTGGAGCTACTTACGGTATAAAGCAACTGTCACGACCGCTGCGTTAGTTTCTGCTGAGGACGCCGCGCCGGCCGGTAGTCGCCATCCACTCTGAATAGGTATTTTTAAGCCTCCTTTTCTTAGAGATGTGAGGATTCGCGCGACTGTACATCCAACCAGGCACACTCATTGTCCGTATCCCATACATGCACGCGATTCAAAAGTGCGGGAAAAGGAGACCAATGCCAGGCATTTGCATTCGCCTTCGTGCACACTATCTTCCTGGCTTCGCTTTGCCGGCACTCGGGTCGCTCTGTCTCTCTCGCACTCATGGGGCGTCCCGTGGAGGTGCGAGAGAGACAGAGCGACGAAAGCAGTGCTCGGAATCAGTCTGGAGGCGAAGCGCGCACCGCGCACACGCAGTTGCTCTTGACCCATCAAAGAGAAAGAGGGGGAGGGGAGGGGGAGGGGGCTGTAGGCCGCCCGGTGCCGCGCTTGGCCCAGCGCCTCAGCCTCAGCGCCGCCTCTCTCTGTCTCTCTCCCACTCGGCAGCATCGCGCCGGCGAGGAAAAGGGATCGAGGCGAAATGGACTTGGAAGTCCACGCGCGGCCGGCGTGGTGCAGCCAGCCTGCGGACTGATGCCGAGAGTCGTCTTCATCGCTCTGTCCCTCTCGCTCTCCATAGGGCGCTCCGTTCAGGTGCGAGAGAGACAGAGCGACGAAAACGACTCTCGGAATCAGTCTGCTGCAGCGGCGAGACGCAAATGCTGATCCTGCGGCAGGCTGTTTCCGAACAGTGCTGTCTCTCTCGCACTCGCGTGGCGCCCCGTGGCGGTGCGAGAGAGACGGAGCGACGAGGGCAGTGGAGGTGAAAATTGGCGCCAAAGCCACGTGAGTGGCAACGCCATCGGCGTCCCCGCGGGGCGCGCGGCCGCCATCCAGAACGGGTTGCCGAGGGAAGGCCCACCGGGCCCGCCGAGACGCCCGCCAGCAGGAAAATGCGGCCAAATATCGTCGAGGTGGATAACCCCCAAATCGGAACCCCGACGTTCCACGACGATGGGAGCATTTCGTGCCAATAATTGGCTGAGCGTCCGCAAAGCGGAAATTGACCACCAAATCGTCTCACCGTACCGCCACCGCGTTTTCCCGCCAGTTATTTAATTTTCCTGTTTTTTTTTCTAAGTCGTTTTTCTTTTGAGAAGTTTTGTTAGAATTCATCCCAGTTCGACAAGGAACACGTGAGGGAAGTCCCCGAGAGCGTCGTCAGGGGGAGACAACAACGGGGAATCAATCTGCAGCTGTCCGATACACTGATCGGCGAGGCGTGCGACCCGAGTCCCTCCCACAACAATTAATTGCGAGTGATAACAACTTCCTCCGGTTTGCACGGGATCGCGGAAAACGCACAATTATGATATGCCGATGCCGCGCTGCATGACATCAGGATGGCGTGCCGATGTTGCTACACGATCGTTTCGGCGCAATTATTAGAATAAGAGAGCGGCGGTCCCGCGGACAAAGAAGGAAACATTTGCATGTAAAGTACGTGAATAGTGTACACTCCAAAACACTCAGAACAAATCTTAGCTTAGCATTGTCAGACATCCTAAAATTATGTTTGAAATGAAGCCTTGCAGGCTCATCCGCTCAGAGTTTCCTTCATCTTCATACAAAATGCAAAGGGAATGCCTCTCTTTTATGCTTCGCCTGAAAAACCGTAACGTCTTTAAGCTTAACTGAATGGTTTCGTTTAGTTTTACGACTGGACCATTTTTGTCTCTATGCCGTAGTGACGTCTTTTAAACACGTCTAGAAGTTCTAGTGACGGCAGTTTTGTCACTGGCCTAGCTGCGTGTCACCAGCCAGGGACAAGACTATAGTCTTAGATAGATATATCTCCATTTCTAGATTTGCCTGCACACGTAACTACGCTTCGTGTCGTTTCGCCACGACTCTATGTTAAAGTTACCCTGCCGCCATAATTCCATTTCTTCCACGAGCCCTGTCTTCGCGTTAATAAAAATTTACTGATTCGCTGAAATGTCTCATCAATGTCAATTACCGCCAGTTTCAAAATAATTTTCATTCACCCCTTTTTTTAATTTCAGAATGCTTTCTTTTGGCAAGGGGTGCCGAAAACACTCCACAGAGAGAGTGTCCCTACCAAGCTTCTTTTTTTTTTTTAAGCACTCCCTCCCTAAAAATTTTCCGAATTTTTTGCGGTCATGGAACGCACTTCTGCTTAGACGGATTCCGCCAAAATTCTGCAGTCGTGTCTTTATATCGCTGATGTGGCGGCCTGTCCGTCAACCGCCTTCGGCCACGTGTGTGATTGTTTACCGGTGGCGGCTCGGAAGTGCTTCACGCTCGCTGCCGGCATGGCGTGGCTGGCCAGCCTGGCGTGGCGGCCCGGCTGTCTAGGATCGCTATTTGCGACCCGGCGGCTCACGGCGTGGCCCTTATCAGGTGTTTGCCGCTTTTCGGGTGGGACCGCCAAGCAGCACCACGCCGAGCCACGCCGAGCCACGCCACGCCTGAGCATCGGGAGCGGCAGGCAGTTCAAACCGGTGGCGGATCATCCCGTCCACCGCAACACGCCGCGCCTACTCTGCAAATCCCCCGTCTGAAATTTTATCCCAAAATGAACTTCAAAATTTTAGCTGGGGGAAATTGACGTAGAAAATATGCGTTAGACATGACCGCAATAACATTTCGCCAAATTCCAATTTGTTTACAGAAAATGTTTGTTTAGTTCTTAAACTTACCCAAAGAAAGGTTGAAGGTCAGTGCCATTTTTGCGACTGTCATGACAGCAACACCTTCCAAAAGCGGCCAGATCGCGAGATTCAACGAAACGACAACCCGAAACGGCAGCTTTGCACGGCAGCAGACTGATTCGGAGAGTCGTTTCGTTTTCGTCGCTCTCATGGGGCGCTCCGTCTGAGTGCGAGAGAGACAGAGCGACGAACGCGTACGAAAACGACTCTCTGAATCAGTCAGCAGCAGTATGACAGGAAAGTGGTCGAAGCACGGCGGGTCGGGAAGTCGGAACGATGAAATGACGTCCATTTGTCGTCCTATAACGACATTACCGGGCCTTCGGGCCTTCGGGCCTTCGGGCCTTCGGGCCTTCGGGCCTTCGGGCCTTCGGGCCTTCGGGGACCTTGGGCAAGCGTGGGCTAGTCTAGGTGACTGCCCGGGCCGACGGACGCCTATGGACTCGTGCAGGACACGCGCAGGACACGTGGAGGCTTTGGCAAACTCGACTCACGTTCGGCGCGGCCGGCGCGGCCCGACGACGCGGCCCGACATCGCCGCCAAGTGCCACTTTTGTCATACCGTGCACGGTTGCGTCGCGGCCGAGTACACTTTCGTTTCCTAATCTATGACGGATGATGGATGGATCAGCGCGAAACGAAAAATCTCTCGGACAGTTTTTACTTGCCCTTTTCGACTGCCAATTGACTGTCGCAAAGGGTTTTAAAACCCTTAGAAATTGTAACTGGCCATACGAAGAAACTTGTATGCAATTTTCGATTGAGAGGTGTGAGTGCGACACGTTAGTGCATGTGTCATGTCCGCTTGGAGTCGGCAGCTCTTCCTCGATAACATTGCCCCCCCCCGGGAAGGGACCGGAACCTTTATCGATTCGCGCGCCTCGGGACGGAGTCATCGAGACTACGAGATAATCGACCGTCCGGGGCGAATGTCCATTGAAGGGTGACCCTGGAGAGCGAGAAAGCGGCGGGGGAAGAAAAAGATCAGGCCAAGAACTGGATATCCGATGGAGCGCCTTATGGACGAAGGGTAGGCAGGCCCGCCACACTCCGACCCCAGGCGGGAGGCCTACCTTAGCCCCTAGCGCCTTACGGACGAAGGGTAGGCAGGCCCGCCACACTCCGACCCCAGGCGGGAGGCCTACCTTAGCCCCTAGCGCCTTACGGACGAAGGGTAGGCAGGCCCGCCACACTCCGACCCCAGGCGGGAGGCCTACCTTAGCCCCTAGCGCCTTACGGACGAAGGGTAGGCAGGCCCGCCACACTCCGACCCCAGGCGGGAGGCCTACCTTAGCCCCTAGCGCCTTACGGACGAAGGGTAGGCAGGCCCGCCACACTCCGACCCCAGGCGGGAGGCCTACCTTAGCCCCTAGCGCCTTACGGACGAAGGGTAGGCAGGCCCGCCACACTCCGACCCCAGGCGGGAGGCCTACCTTAGCCCCTAGCGCCTTACGGACGAAGGGTAGGCAGGCCCGCCACACTCCGACCCCAGGCGGGTGACACGACAGTGGAAGTGGTCCGAGGGAAGGGGAGCGGCCCGGTGCATCGAAATCCGTCTAAACGCGAGTCTAGGCCGAACCGGAGGCCGCAGGGTCGTCTCATCTCGTCTCCTCGACACAACAACTGGTTTTGGCGCGGCCGGCGGCGGGGCGGGCTGCGTCTGCCGCGCGTCTGCCCGAATCGAAGAGCGGCGACACTGTTATTTAATCCACGCGGAGCTATTCGTGGATATTCGACCCCGAGGGCCATACTTGCGGGGATTCAATCACTTTTGACAATTTTTGCGAGACCACTGCTCCCAAACTATCAGCGGTCAAAGCCTTCCCGAGGCGGGGCATGAAAGAGTAGGGTCTTTAGGATAGTAAGGCGTCGAGGGAGGCCTTTGACCGCAACTAAATTGGATGCAGTGACCGCTCAAAGTCAGCAAAAACGATGATTTTTTGAAATTCTTTCACTTTTTGACCATTTTTGCGAGACCACTGCTCCTAAACTATCAGCGGTCAAAGCCTTCCCGAGGCGGGGCCTGAAAGAGTAGGGTCTTAAGAATAGTAAGGCGTCGAGGGAGGCCTTTGACCGCAACTAAATTGGATGCAGTGACAGTTCAAAGTCAGCAAAAACGATGATTTTCTGAAATTCATTCACTTTTTGACCATTTTTGCGAGACCACTGCTCCCAAACTATCAGCGGTCAAAGCCTTCCCGAGGCGGGGCATGAAAGAGTAGGGTCTTTAGAATAGTAAGGCGTCGAGGGAGGCCTTTGACCGCAACTAAATTGGATGCAGTGACCGCTCAAAGTCAGCAAAAACGATGATTTTCTGAAATTCATTCACTTTTTGACCATTTTTGCGAGACCACTGCTCCTAAACTATCAGCGGTCAAAGCCTTCCCGAGGTGGTGCATGAAAGAGTAGGGTCTTTTTAAGCACCTTTTTTGGTGGGGGAGGGGGGTAATTAGGAACGTAGGATTTAAAATTGTTTGCCCCCCCTGAGGAAATACACTTCCGGCGCCCCTGCGAGGGCGTGCTCCAGTGGTCGGTAAACTGGGGAAGGTCCGACGAGCGTGCTGAGTCGCCCTGCAGACTGAGAGTCGTTTTAGTCGCTCTGTCTCTCTCGCACGCATGACGCTGTCCCGTGAAGTTGCGAGAGAGACAGAGCGACGAGAACGACTCTCGGAATGAGTGTGCTGCCGCGCTCCCCTCGCAGGACGTCCCATCGTCGCGGCGTGTCATTCTGATGATGCGCCTCAAAGTGTGGGACGGGACGGGACGGGCTCACACTGTGAGAACGGCCTTGGCCACCTGCACCGCGGACTGCAGGGGCCACCTGCAGAGGCCTGCGATATCTAACGCCACTTGCAGTGCACGCGCCTCGGCAGGACGGTTGGTGCAGGTAAGGGCTGTGCATGTGCACGCCGGCGTCATCCTGGAGACAGTCGTTCTCGTCGCTCTGTCTCTCTCGCACCTAAATGGGACACCCCATGAGTGCGAGAGAGACAGAGCGATGTACAAGGTAGTGCCGAAGTGCTTGTTGCCTGCCTCCCGGCGGCCTATCTTAGTACAGCGGGGTTATTACCCTCCCCTTGGCCCGCACCTTTGAGGTACCAGCTGCCTACACTGTGAAACTGTCGTGACAAAATCGTGGATGACTTTCAAATGATGACGGTCTCATCACAAATTGATGACATTTTTATTAAAGCTCCTAAACTTATTGCGTGGGCGTGACAACAATGTCATAAATTGTTGTGATAACAACATTGTCAGGAAAATAAGCCTTGAAATTGTCATCGAGCGACAACTGAAATTTTCACACACACTAAATGTTTGTGTAGAATTTTGTACATGCCACTTGCACGATTTTGTGCATACGGGGAATTTTCATAATATTATGCGTAAAAATGCATAAATTTATGCGAATTTTATGCAAGACGTCACGCAGGTTTAAAATCGTGCATCACGACGTACAAAATTCTACATAAACATTTAGTGTGCAGAGTGTGGCTGGACCCGGCTGGACCCGCTCTGGCTTGCCTACCTCGGCGGCGCTCCACTCTCAGCAGGCTGGCGAGTGCGATCCGGTCGAGTGCTTTGGCGCGTGTCCACTCTAAAGTACCAAAGCATCACCGGCCGGAGCCCATTCCGACGATGATGCACCAGAACGGCAGCGCTGCCGAGCCCGCCCCGCCGTGTCGAAAAGATCGCGACCGCCGTGACTTTGCGTCGTTCATTTTGGCCTGACTACTCTCGTGCTGTGTCCACAGATCCGCCGCCATGCCGCCCGCCGCCCCGGACGTCCTGCTGGACAACGGCGTCAAGAAGCAGCCCAACGGTAAGCGCGTTGTGTCACTCTAAATGTATTCCGGTGAACGGCTGCATTGTCGTGAAGATTTTCGCCATCTACAAACGAAATTGTGATCATTAAAAAGTGATGAAAGTGTCATCATTTAAAAGTGATGAAAGTGTGATCATTTAAAAGTGATGAAAGTGTGATCATTTAAAAGTGATGAAAGTGTCATCATTTAAAAGTGATGAGAGTGTCATCATCAGTTTGCCGAAAAGTGACGTCAAGTTTTCACAGTGTGGACACCGGTGGACACACACTTATCATTGGCACTCGCTGCGCGCTGCGCGAATGCTGAGCAGGCACACGCACTTGTCGCGGGGTCCGCGGAGCCAGCAGCTGTCTCCGAGGGCGGTGGCTGGGATTGGGACGGGGCCCACGGGGAGCGCGCACCTTGAATAATTCTAGTTTGACTTTGCGACTTAAGGACCGCACATCGGTCCGTACAGCCCGCCGCGTGACCAGCCTTAAGTAACGCCTAGAGGCTGCTGTTTGGGACACTGTCGGGAGTTGACGAGCGCCAAGTACAGTTTCGGACCGAGAGAAAAAAAAGGGGGGGCAGAAGGACATTTGACCACCACCACCCCCCCACCACCACCCCGCGATAGCCACGGCATACGATCATGTGTGGTCTAGCCCTTAATGGTAATGGTAATGATACGTAGGCAACCAGTACCAGATCCTCAGCTGAGGACCGAGTACCCGGTGCGCGCAGCAGTGAAAAATGCTGGTCCTTCTCTCGAGGCCATCCTGATAGCGATAGCCTTGAAACGCACAAAAGAGCGCTTCGACTTTATAGAACATGATCCGCGTCGCATACTCAATGCTAGCAGACTCTCCCTACCCCCTGACCACTCCTGGCGGGAATAGATAGTCGATGGTCATGGCCATAGCTCGACAGCGGCTGCGCGTCAAAATTTCACGCACTGCCGCACTCGGTCGCACCTCCGGTGTGTTGGTTTTATATCTTTGTTTATTCAATTTGTCTTTTCATTTTGTGCTACAGTTTTCGTGGTTTCTGATACGAAACTATCGACGAATGCTTCAGCGTTATCGGTCGTATTTTAATTTAACGATACCTTGCATTAGTGCGCCCACGCCCATGTTTTCAATATTTTGTCCTGAAACTGAAATCATAATTTGCCTTATTTGTGAGCCGCGCGCGGTGCGTTTTTGTGGCAGAATGATTGCCCTGAACCGCCCTTCCGAATCCCGCAGCCAAACAAGGCAGACCCGGTTCGAGCCGGACGGTCCCCGGACGGTCCGCGACGTTGCCTACGCTGATAAAAGGATGTGGCGCTTGAAGGCTTGACAGGTGTCAGCGACACTCGACAGTGACGGCATGTCGGTGATTTACCTTGTCGGTCTTTCGACTTGGACAGAGCAATTAAAGCGCGTCGCCTGCAGACTGATTCCGAAAGTCCTTCTCGTCGCTCTGCCTCTCTCGCACACATGGGGCGTACTGTACTGGTGCGAGAGAGACAGAGCGACGAAGACGACTATCGGAATCAGTCTGCATCGCGTTCGTAATGTAGACACTCGTGGTCATACACGCTGGCACACTGGTTATGCCCGCTTCTTCTTTCCAACGACGCTTTTTTTCGATCTTTTTTTCGCTTTTTTTAATCCTGTGACGCGGTAGTTTTGGCGCGTGCCGCCACGCTCCTCAAAGGAACGGTTACTTATTATTCCTAGAGTGGTGGCGGGTGACGCGACTTCTGGCGGCAGCACCGCGGAGGCACATCGCGGTGGCAAGGCGGGGCGGGTTGGGGCGGGGTGAGGCGGGGTGAGGCGGGGTGAGGCGGGGCGGGGCGGGGCGGGGCGGGGCGGGGTGAGGTGGGGCGGGGCGCGGCGCGGAAATTCGAGGCCTCTGCGCGCTTCACTGCACCTCGCCGCCTCAGCCCTTGACACCCGCGGTCCACCGTGCCCAATGAAATGCATTTTTCTCCTCCAACCGGATGGCAGGAAAATGAAATCCCTCCGATGCACCCCCAGCCTGTTTTCCGTGACTCAAAATAATTGAGCAAGTTGACTCAAATTGAGAAAACAAACCTAACGCCTTCCTGCATTTTCGCACCAGGAGAGGACTTGGCCAACCACGGGCGCCCCACGGCAGAGAACTTCGCCGTCCTCAACCAAGGCGACGAGGATGAAATCGTAAGTGGAAGTGAGAGAGGAGATTTTTCGAGGCGATTTCCGGCCTAATGCGCCTCTACTGTACTCGCGGCTGGTGTTCGTCCTGAGGCGAGCCTAATCCACGCCTGTCTCATTAGTCGCTCCGGGCCGCGTCCGAAATCGGTCTGTCCTTGTCGCACTCGCTGTGCCGGCCGGCCGGATCGAGAGGGACGCCTCGATTCGGACGCGTCATCTCGAACGCCGCCTCACCACGGCGTTGCAGCAGACTGAGAGTCGTTTTCGTCGCTCTGTCTCACTCGCACTCATGGGGAGTCTCGTATGGGTGCGAGAGGGACAGAGCGACGAGTCTCGGAATGAGTCTGCAGCGTGGGCAATTTCACGTGTCCTCGAGTGTCCACGCGCGGTCACGGAACAAAGGGGTCCCGAGAGGACGTTGTGTTGGAATTTAAATTACGACGCAGAAATTTACAACCAAAAGGAGTGTATTTTCTTCCTCTTTATTTTAGGTTGTCCGTATAATTACAAGTGAATCAATTTTCTGTCTGTTAAATCCTTTTTTGTTGCTTGATAAAATTCAGTGTTGAAAGACAAAGGTAGGACAAACAAACCCAGCACTAGCACTTACGTAAATGGATTTTTTTAAACCAAAAAGGATTTTTAAAGCCTTTTTTCCCCCTTTTATTCTGTTTTTTTTTTTCTTTTTTGTTTTGAGTGTCTCACTCTTTCCATAAGCTTTCCATTGTGCGTGCGCGTTGACAGAGTAATTCGGTGTCACCATGCCACGGCGAGTCGCCACGGCACGCTCCGGCACGGCATGCCTTGTCCAACCACCATTATTTTGGCGAGAAACGTCGCGACGGCAAAGCGGCGAGGTGACCCGCTCATCGCTTTTGCTCGCGTGGTCGATTGGCCATTTGGACGCCCGCGGTCAGCCACGCGAAAAAATAACAAAAACGAAACGCGGCTCACAAAAATTAGAGTGTGATTTTGCGACAGAGGACGTAAAGTGGAAGCAAAACAAAACGGCGCTGTCTACACTGTAAGAAGGGGTTTCGCTTTTCGGACTCGTATTAGGTCTTCAAATTCGGGCGCCGTGCGGTTTGATCTAATTTCGCCCCGTCCGGAAATCGAACCCTATTCTAACAGTGGAGTGCTTAAGCTTGGTCGATCTTCGCGAGTGTCAAGTGCTCCCTGGCTCAGGCGTTTCAAACTGGAGACGACGCTCCAGGTCGCACGAGACCTCTCACGCTCCGACTGTCTCTCTCTAACCGGGCCGCGTGCGTGAGTCTCGCTCTAGCCTGTCGCACTGTTGCGCTACAACTGTCCGCCCTGCCCCCAGGAGGTGTACGGCTACACCCGCTGCTGGCTGCGCACCAGCCTGACCTGGGCCTTCGTCATCCTCACGCTGGGGCTGCTGCGCCTTCTGCTGCACTGGTACCCGCACTGGCTGCTGCAAGCCACGCACCGGCCCTGCACGCTGGACAAGGCCGAGAAGCTCCTCGTCGTGGTGAGTCGAGCACCCTCAAGCAAAGCCCAGTTCGCCACCCGTTTTTACGCGTAACCAGTTTGTATGCTGGAAATGGAGCGCAACAGGCTCACCCGCTAAGGTTCCTCCCGTCTAAATGCATGGGGGTTCAATTCAAGCGGGACAGGGACATAGTGAAGCAAAACTGTAGGCTTGACTCAACACTGGTAAAACAATTGCACAAAAACTACGTCTTTCATGCCCCGCCCCATTAACATTTTACCTGTAAGTTCTACACCAATTCACGCGTGCTCCTTAAGGGTCCTAAACGATTCTCGCCGTTTCAGGACCGTAAATCGTTTACACTCTGTTAGGGCATGAGTTTTTATGACTTTGAAGTATGAAGCAATGAACCATGAACCAGCATGGTTCATGGTGAAGCATGAAGTTTTAGTTTTACCAGCGAAGGTCTCCTTGCGTCACAGAAGTCGAAAGTGTGCCGGACGTCCGAGGCGCGCGATAGGCGTCCGAGACACCCCATCAACGAAGACACTGACTGGCTCGGCTCCTTCGTCCCTGAGGGAGATATGCAAACGCGGCACCGCTCGGGCACGAGCAAATTCTGGGCCGTGTTGGACGTACTGACACGCTGTGCCCGAACTGGTCTTCATAAACTCCTCATTCTGCAGCACAGTGATTGCAGTGGGCCAGAAGACCGGTGGAGGCGGCCAAAACTCAAGACGCGTTTTGAGCTCCAGAGTAGCTGAACAGGACTTGAACCAAACGTGTGACCCCACCAATGGATTCCTCGTTCGGAGAGCAATCCGTTGGTGGGGTGCGCCGCACGTTCGATTCGAATCCCATTTAGCGACTCTGGAGCTCGAAACGCGTCTAGAGTTTTGGACGCCTCCACCGGTCTTCTGGTCCTCTGTGCCGCGGGCTGCAGCCGTGGGAATCGGCATTTCGCTAAGTGAGAGGTTTGCCGCTCAAGCGGCCCGTCTGGCCCGTCTCGTCTCCCCGCGCGATATTAATTAGCCATCGCGAGCCAGAAGCCATTAGAGCGTGGCAGTGTGGCAGCATCGCAGCGCGTGGCGGCGCGCGTCCATTTCTTTCCTCTCTTCTTCTCTCTTTTCTGAATCTCCCACGAAGATCGGCGAGTTTGGCGGTGATTTACCATTCCGTGTTGTGTTGACAGGACTGCTACCAAAACAAGCACAAGTCGTTCTTCGTCAAGAACATCGAGACGTTCGACCTCGCCGACAAAAGGTGCGAGTGCGAGGAAGAGAGAGGGCTGCAGAAAAACGGCGCCGATGCGCTTCATTTTGATGCGGCCAGTTTGACTAATCTGTCTTTGGCGCCTCGGGTTGCAGCAAACCGGAGGACCCCGTGCCAACCCTCGGCGCGACGCGGGTGTGGCTGGACGACGGCACGACCAGAGGTGGGTTCAAACAGGTTCAATCCGGCGCGGCCGGGACTGTGCGAGGGCCCCCGGGAGGAGAGGGAGGGGAGGGTGGGGAGGGGTGGGGAGGGGGAGGGGGAGGGGAGGGTGGGGAGGGGAGGGGAGGGATGGGAGGGGAGGCGGGACAGACGGTCTCGTTTCCTTCCGCCTCCGAGCCGCATAATTTAAAGTCTTTGGTCCCGCGGCAGCAGGCTGCTTCCGAACAGTACTTTCGTCGCTCTGTCTCTCTCGCACTCACGGGGCGCTCCGAGAGAGGCACCGCTCGGAATCAGCCGGCTGGAAAAGTGTCGCACAAAAAGAGGCGGGCGTGTCGACGACGAAAGCAATGCGGAGTTTGGCGAGTTCTATTTCGAAAACAAGGAAGAAATGGCAGCAGGTTATTCTGAGCGCCTTTTCCGCCTGCCTTTCGATTAATTCGAGATCTCGCCAGGATTCGCTGTGCTTGGCTTTGCTTGGCTCTGTCTCGCCGCGGTTCGATGGTCGGCCGGCGTGTCGCGAAAGCCACCGTGGAGGTCACCACTGGATGGGGGACGCCCTGATTGGTTGCAGAGCAGCGGCGTAAAACTCTCACGACGGTCTAAACAGTTTGCATGTGAATGAAAACTAATTTGTTCCCGCTCCGCCGCGCTTGCGCTGCAGACGTGTCCCGCGTGCGATGGGTGCGTGTCAAGAGACTGCGCTACGTGTGGGACGACAGGAACCAGCGCTTCTGCCGTCTGGCCGGCCTGGACGGCATGGACGCCGCCGACATCCACGCCACTGCCAACGCGCCGCTCAACGCGCAGCAGCAGGCCACGAGGTGAGACGAGGGTTGCTGGGTCGAATACCGACCGGTGCTCTCGTATAGAAAACAAGTACACACAAAAATTACGTAACATGTGATCAATCCGAGAGGTGACCCACTGTAAAATTTGCTGTACAATGATTGTGGAAATGTGCTGGAATGTGCAAAATTTCTGCCGTATTTGCCACACATTTTGCTTTAGACTGTGGAATGTGATCAAATGTTGCACCATGAATGCCCCACAGGCGCCTGCTGTACGGCTCCAACAACATGGAGATCCACGTGCAGACCGTGCTCACCCTAGTGGTGCTGGAGCTGCTCAACCCGTTCTACGTCTTCCAAGTCTTCTCCCTGGCCGTCTGGTTCGCCGAGAAGTACTACTACTACACCATCGCCATCGTCGTCATGAGCACCTTCGGCATCACGTTCACCGTGCGCCAGACTAGGAGGGTAAGCAGCCACCGCCTTTGCGTTGCACAGTGGGCCAGAAGACCGGTGGAGGTGATCAAAGTCCCGGACGCGTTTTGCGCTCCAGAGTCGCTAAATGGGACTCGAACCGAACGCGTGACCCCACCAATGGATTGCTCGGTTCGAGTCCTGTAAAGCGACTCTGGAGCTCAAAACGCGTCTAGAGTTTTTGTCGCGGTTGCCGGTCTTATTCCGTGATCTATTCCAATACCTACTAGCTAACGAACCTTTTTCGAACTTTTTGAACACAGAACCAGCTGTCGCTGCACAGCACGGTGCACTCCTCGGACGTGGTGACGGTGAGCCGCGGCAACGGCGAGTTCGCCGACGTGAGCACCACGGAGCTGGTGCCCGGGGACGTGATCGTGATCCCCCAGCACGGCTGCACGCTGCACTGCGACGCCGTGCTGCTCAACGGCAACTGCATCGTCAACGAGACCATGCTGACCGGTAAGCTTGGCGAAGCTCCGACTCGGAGTGCCGCCACCGCCGCCGGCCGTCGCACAGTGGGCCAGAAGACCGGCGCCGGCGGCCAAAACTCTAAATGCGTTTTGAGCTAGTAAGTGGCGAAACAGGCCACGAACCGAGTGTCTGACCCCACCAATGGATTCCTCGTTCGGAGAGCAATCCATTGGTGGGGTCACACGCTCGGTTCGAGTCCCACTGAGCCACGCTGAAGCTCAAAACGCGTCCGGGACTTTGACCGCCTCCACCGGTCTTCTTTCCCACCGTTGTGGGTCGTGGCCCTGCAGACGACTGATTCCGAGAGGCATCTTCGTCACCCTGTTTCTCTCGCACTCATAGAGCGCCCCGTGAGGGTGCGAGAGGGACGTAAAAGACCCTCGAAATCAGTCAGCTGCAGTCATTCCGCACATCGAGTCGTCTCCGTGTCTCTCCCACTCGCGAGAGAGAGACGGAGCGAGGCTGACTCTCAGGGCCGTTGCTCGTTGCAGGCGAGAGCGTGCCGGTGACCAAGACGCCGCTGGGCCGCGTGGCCGGGGTGGCGTACGACGCCAAGGAGGACGCGCGCCACACGCTGTTCGGCGGCACCACGGTCATCCAGACGCGCTTCTACGGCGAGCACAAGGTGCTGGCGGTGGTGGTGCGCACCGGCTTCCTCACGACGCGCGGCGCGCTCGTTCGCTCCATCCTGTACCCGCCGCCCGCCGACTTCCGCTTCGAGCGCGACTCGTACAAGTTCATCGGCATCCTGGCCGTGATAGCGTTCGCCGGGCTCGTCTACACCTGCATCGCCAAGGTGAGCCGAACCCGCCTCGAACCGCGGCCGGCCCGGCCCACACGCCGAAGCGACGATGCACCGTTTGGGCATCGTGTTTGAACCCCAGAGTCGCTAAACAGGACTCGAACCGAACGCGTGACCCCACCAATGGATTCCTCGTTCGGAGTGCAATCCATTGCTGAGTCCTGTTTAGTGACTCTATGGAGCTCAAAACGCGTCTAGAATTTTGGCCGCCTGCGCCGGTCTCTAGTACACTGTGCACTGCCCGGCACTGACCTCCCCGTCCCCCCGCAGGGCACGCGCGGCGTCAGCCCGGGCGACATCGCGCAGAAGGCGCTGGACCTCATCACCATCGTGATCCCACCCGCGCTGCCGTCGGCGCTCAGCGTGGGCAAGCTGTGCGCGCAGAACCGCCTGCAGAAGCTCAACATCTTCTGCGTCAACTCGCGGGTCATCAACGTGGCCGGGTCGCTGGACTGCGTCTGCTTCGACAAGGTAAGGCGAAGGACGGCGGCGGCGCGGCGACGCGTTGCCACGCCAAGGCCGCCGCGCCGATACCACCTCACCGCCACACTCATTCCGAGAGTCGCTTTCGTCGCTCTGTCTCTCTCGCACCGGCACGCGACGCCCCGTGAGTGCGAGAGAGGCAGAGCGACGAAAGCGACTTTCGGAATCAGTCTGCTGGCCGACACGCCGCAGTTATCACCATTTTTGTCGCACTGCTGCAGCCCCGCTAGTTAGTGGCCAGGCAGGCCGAAAAGGGGTCAGCGAAAAGAACGCGAGGCGTAGTCTCATGCACCATCATCTCGCCATCACCGTCCTCGCGCCCACGCCTTGCAGCTCATTCAGAGATCCTAGCCTGATCCTCACGAGTCTCGTGCGAACCATTCCCTGTCAGGTTCATGGTTGCCCTTCTGCTGATGAGCGATTCCGCACACTGTTTTCCAACTCTGTCTCTCTCGCACCCATGCGGGGCGCCCTATGAGTGCGAGACAGAGCGACGATAGCAGTGGTCAGTCTGACGGCCACTCGGTGCGTGTGCGGCGTGCACTGACTCTTGGACAGGTATTGTCGTCTCGCTCTCCTACATGGTGCCCAAGGTCAACGCCACGCTATCTTCCCCTGGGGCCCCGCTCCGCCCCCCGCGGCACTGCAGCGCGCTGGCCCCTGACCCACTGTCCCACATTTCGATGCACTTGTCATCCTCGGAGTCACTGACACGTCACTGACACGCCACCGGACGCACGGTCGCCGCGGAAGCGGAAATGAGTATGTCGATTTTTCATACGCCGTACTGTTTTTGGCGCGAAGCTGTGACGTTTGCGCGGGAACGTGGGAACGCGTGCTGATGGTAGTGCACTCGGCGATTTTTCATACATCATCATCAGCGCTGTTAGGCCTCAGTCGGCCCCAGTAGACCTTTCGCGTTTGGGTAAGCAATTACAACGCAGTATTATTTTTGGCGCGGAGCTGAAACGTTTGCGCGGGAACTCGTTCCGGTGGTCGCGCACTCAGCGATTTTTCATACGCAGTCCTGTTTTTTGGCGCGAAGCTGAAACGTTTGGGCGCGAGGTCGTGCCGGTGGTCGCCTTTTGCCTGACTGCAGTTCCTTTATCTTTCCAGACCGGGACGCTGACGGAGGACGGACTGGACCTGTGGGGCGTGGTGCCGGTGGACGGCGGCGTGCTGGCCGACCCCGTCGCCGACCCGCGCGAGCTGCCGGACACGCATCCGCTGCTGTGCGCCATGGCGGCCTGCCACTCCCTCACCAGGATCGACGGCGAGCTGGCCGGGGACCCGCTCGACGTCAAGGTAGGCGGAGGCCAGTAGACTCATTCCGAACGGTGCTTTCGTCGGCCTGTCTCTCTCGCACGACGGGACGCCCCATGAGTGCGAGAGAGAGACCAGCCACTCGGTCTGCAGGCGGAGGCCACTATCTCTGACTAATCCGCGCGGCTATCTGGAGTGCGGCCTGCGGTGCCTGCGGCCACCACACTGTCGTCGGGAACCTCGGCTTACTCTATGAGTGGTGCAGTGTCTCGACGCCGCGCCGAGATGGGGCGGCGGGACGGGACGCCCCGAAGGGCGAAGGGCGTCGCCGCGGCCAGCACACTGAGAGCCGTTTTCGTCGCTCTGTCTCTCTCGCACTCACGGGGTGTCCCGTACAGGTGCGAGAGAGACAGAGAGAAGAAAACAAAGTGCGATAATCCGCCTTAGTTTGGGAGCAGTATTGCCGCAAAGTTGATCAAAACGGCCACAAATGTCTTTGAAAAATCGTGTTTTGGGCCGACTTTAAGCAGCCACTGCGTCTGATCCGAGGCGGTATATCGTCCTCCCTCAACGGGCATTTGGTCTTTGGACCTTCCTTTAACATGCCTTTGTTACGGAGTGCGATTATCTGCCTTAGTTTGGGTGCAGTATTTTCTCAAAGTTGAGCAAAACCGACTTTAGAGGCATTTTTGACCGTTTTCATCAATTTTGAGCCAATTATGCTCCCAAACTAAGGCCGATAATCGCACTCCGTAACAAAGGCAAGCTAAAGGAAGGTCCAAAGACCAAATGCCCACTGAGGGAGGACGAAATACCGCCTCGGATCAGACGCAGTTGCTGCTTAAAGTCGGCCTAAAACACGAGTTTACAAAGGCATTTTCGACCGTTTTGAACAATTCTGCCAGCCGGGAAACAGCTGCGACCCCAGGCAACCCCAACCACCTCGCTGCGACCCTTCGAAATTTTTTCGCGACCCCAAGGTTGGGAACCGCTGCCCTACGCAGAGGCCATAGCCAGCTGCTGTAGCTGTTGATGTTATTGGGCAGCAGGGAGAGCTAGCCTCCGAAAACTGACACGAGCGCTACACCTATCAAAATCGAGAAAAAACGGGTTGACTCTTTTCAAAGCTCTTTATTGCTCAATGCAGTATTTTCGTTTTGACTGGCATGACCCGGTTCTAGTAAGGCTTTTCAGGGGGACGTTACGTTACCATCCCTTCTGTTTGGCGCTCTCTGAACACGACGATAAAGACCTCCAATCCGACTTCCCTCTTAACCAAGCCGTCTCCGACAGATGTTCGAGTCGACGGGGTGGGAGCTGGAGGAGCCCGACGTGCCGGACACCATCAAGTTCGACCTGCTGGTGCCGTCGCTGGTGCGGCCGCCGAAGCAGCAGCAGCAGGCCGTCGAGGAGGTTGACGGCGTGCCGTACGAGATCGGCCTGGTGCACCAGTACCAGTTCTCGTCCACGCTGCAGCGCATGAGCGTCGTCACCAGGCAGCTGGGCGTATCCGACCTCGTGCTGTACTGCAAGGGCTCGCCCGAGACCATCGCCTCGCTCTGCGTGCCGGAGACAGGTACGCGCGCCTCGGTGGCCGTCACGCAGTGGGCCAGAAGACCGGTGGAGGCGGCCAAGACCCCGGACGGGTTTTGAGCTCCAGAGTCGCTGAATGGGACTCGAACCGTGCGTGTGACCCCACCTATGGATTGCTTTCCGAATGAGGAATCCATTGGTGGGGTCGGGGTCACACGTACGGTTCGAGTCCTCTTTAACTGACGCGTCAAAGGTCTTCAAGCGAACAGCTAGGCTTGAAGACCTTACACGCTAGCAACCACTGCGTCCTCGCAATGTGCACTTCGGCAAAGGTCCCATCGCTCTTGTGACACACTGCAACGCAACTTGAAATGTGTGCTTCTCTCTGATCGGCGCAGTTCCCGCGGGGCTGGCGGAGCGCCTGAGCGCGCTGGCCAGCCAGGGCTACCGCGTGCTGGCGGCCGGCCGGCGCGTCGTCCCCGCCGCCTCGCTGCCCCGCCTGCTGCGCCAGCCGCGCGCCGACATGGAGAAGGACCTGCACTTCGCCGGCCTCATCGTCATGGAGAACCGCCTCAAGCCGCAGACCGAGGGCGTCATCCGGCAGCTGCAGGAGGCCAACATCAAGGTCGTCATGATCACGGGTAAGCTCCCCGGCAGACCCGGCCTCGACATTAAAGTGTGGTGTAGTTCCTTACTCGAACGCTTAAGGTCTGTTGAGGCCTCACAGTGCTGCTGCTGCTGATGAGGAACTCAGTCAGGGGGATCCAGGAGTGTGTATCAGAGGGGGCCTTTTGTCTACCTTCTGGCGGAAGGTCATGATTTTTGGCAACCTTCAGGATCGCCATATAGCGCCCCACCTCTCTCTCCTCCTCCTCCTCCTCCTCCTCCTCCACTGTTCTGAGTACAAACTTGAAGTTTGAGTGTTGGTAACTCTGTTACTCGGTAAGACCTTACAGAGTTCCAAAATTTTCTATTGTTTCCTTATTCGTCTGGTGGCGGTGAGGACGCATCAGCTCAGCCGGCGAAACGACTTTAACATTCCTCTTAAGAACAATTTGGCATCGCACTTGTCAGGGCGCTCGCCGACGGCAGACCGATTCCGAGAGTTGTTTCCGACGCGCTATCTCCCTCGCACCTTCACGGAACGCCCCATGAGTGCGACAGAGACAGAGCGACGAAAACGACTCTCGGAATCGGTCGCGCAGGTGCCGCGCTCGCATTGTCCTGCTCACCAAAAGTCCGAGGGCCTCTTTGTCAGCCGTGACTCATCCGCCATGTCCCGTCGCTGTCACTCCTCTGTCTCTGTCGCAGGCGACAATGTGCAGACCGCCGTGTCCGTGGCGCGCGAGTGCGGCATGGTGACGCCGCGGCAGCGCGTCGTGGCCGTGGACGTGGTGCCCGGCGACAAGGACGGCCCGCCCAAGGTCGTGTACTCCACGGCCAGCCCGGCCTCGCCGTCCTTCACCAAGGTGAGCTTCGCGCAGCTCTGACCACAGTGGGGCAGAAGACTGGTGGAGGCGGTCAAAATCCCGGACGCGTTTTGAGCACCAGAGTCGCTAAATGGGACTCGAACCGAACGCGTGACTCCACCAATGGTTTGCTCTCTGAACGAGGAATCCATTGGTGGGGTCACATGTTCGGTTTCAGTCCCATTTAGCGACTCTGGTGCTCAAAACGCGTCCGGGATTTTGACCGCCTCCACCGGTCTTCTGGACCACTGTGTAGAGGGGCGAGTCCCTTCCCACCCCACCCATGCTACTCAGCATACGGCTGTCTCTCTCGCACTCACGGGGCGTCCTGTGTCGGTGCGAGAGAGACGGAGGTATGAAAACGGCTCTCGGAATCAGTCTGCTGCCCTTTGCACTCGTGTTGGGCGGTCACTGAAGGGCGTGCTTTGTTTTTCAGCTGCACATGGCACCCAGCAAGGCCAGCAGGGCCGGCAAGGCCGGCAAGCCCTCGAGCCTCGCGAAGGTGGAGGCCGGCGCCCTGCCCGCCCTGCACGAGGCGCCCTACGTGTTCGCCGTGACGGGCCGCACCTGGGCCGCCCTGCGCGAGCACTTCCCCCTGCTGCTGCCGCGCATCTGCGTCCGCGGCGCCGTCTTCGCGCGGATGTCCTCCGACCAGAAGCAGCAGCTCGTCAACGAGCTGCAGGACCTCGGCTACTACGTGGGTGCGTACTGTGCAAGCGGCGCCGAGAACACAGTGTGTACTCTGAATCTCCAGTGCGTGCCTGGTTGACTTCTCCCAGCGTCAACCTGTCAGGCACACACCAGGAACAGTCAACCTGTCAGGCACACGCCAGCAGGAACGGTCGACCTGTCAGGCACACGTCAGGAACTGTCAACCTGACATCTGTGCCAGACAAGCCATATCACATGGTGTGTGCCTTGCACGTTGACTACTCGCGCCCCCCTGGTTGACGCCACCAAGAGTCAACAAGACACACACTTAGATTTCTCGAGTAGATGCGGATTCTCGAGAGAGCCCATTTTGCGAGCACTCTGTAACTAAAACCGCTTTTGCAGGCATGTGCGGCGACGGCGCCAACGACTGCGGCGCCCTCAAGGCGGCCCACACTGGAATCTCGCTGTCGGACACGGAGTCGTCCGTGGCCGCGCCGCTCACCGCCAAGGAGCCGCACATCGGCTGCGTGCCGCACGTGATCCGGGAGGGCCGCGCCGCGCTCGCCACCTCCACGGGCATCTTCAAGGTGGGCCCCGCCCCGCCCCGCGCCGGGCAGCGGGTGCCGCGCAGTGGGCCAGAAGACTGGCGCTGCCGGCCAAAACTCTAAACGCGTTTTGACCTCCAGAGTCGCTAAACTGGACTCGAACAGATCGTGTGACCCCACCAATGGATTGCTCGTTCGAAGAGTAATCCATTGGTGGAATCACATGTTTTGCTCCGAGTTCCATTTAGGGACTCTGGAGCTCAAAACCCGTCCGGGGTTTTGACCACCGGTCTTTTGGCTCACTGTGTGTCGCCTGCAGACTGATTCCGAGAGTCGTTGTCGTCGCTCTGTCTCTCCCTATCTCGTACCCATAGGGGACGCTCCATGATATCGAGAGACATGGGGCGACGAAAAAGACTTTTGGAATCAGTCTGCAGCAGAGCGGGACGAGGACGACGACAGACATCCTCGTGGCGTAGGCCGCCGTAGCGCCTGCAAAGTGCAGGGTGGGCCCGCCCGCCACACGCGCGTGTGTTGCGGCGTTGCCTACCAGCCGCTTGGCAGGCGCTACGCTGGAAGGCTCCACGATGAAAGAACGATCCTGGCGTCCGATTAAATTTTTCATTCACGTCAATTCAAGTGGAAAAGAGGTCGGCAGCTACCGCGCACAAGCCTAACTCACCGTGCTCCTCTTGCAGTTCATGGTGGCCTACTCCCTCACGGAGTTCACCTCCGCCATCGTGCTGTACGGCATGGACTCGAACCTGACCAGCCTGCAGTTCCTGTTCATCGACGTGTGCCTGGTCATGAACATCGCCTTCCTGTTCAGCAAGACGGACTCGCACCAGGGCACGCTGTCGCGCCACGCGCCGCAGACGTCCCTGCTCTCCCTCAGCCCCCTGCTGTCCCTCGTGCTGCTGATGGCCGCCAACATCGCGTTCCAGGCGGCCGGCTACCACCTGGTCAGCCAGTTCCCCTGGTACACGCCCTTCAAGCCCACCTCCAGCACCGACTACACGAGCATGGAGAACTTCGGCGTGTTCTGCGTGTCGATGTTCCAGTACATCGCCATGGCCGTGGTGTACTCGCAGGGCGCGCCGTACCGCGCGTCCATCCTGACGAACCGCTGGTTCACGGCGTCGCTGCTGCTCATGGTGGCCGTGTGCGCGTACATCACGCTGTACCCGGCGGGCTGGATCCTGACGGCGCTGGAGCTGATGCTGCCGCCGATGGACTTCCGCGTGATGGTGCTGGCGCTGGCGGCGGCCAACGCGGCCGTGTGCCTGTTCTTCGAGCGCGCCGTCATCCAGTGGTTCGTGGAGCACAAGCTGCGCTACTGCTGCCACGACGCGTCCAAGTCGCGCCAGAAGTTCCTGGTGGTCGGCAAGGACCTCGTCGACGAGGAGCCGTCCTGGCCGCCGCTGGACGACCGGCGCGTCCCCACGGCCGCGGCGCCCGTCCCCGCGCACGCCAACAACGGCATGACCCTGCTCGTGGCCCGCGCCGCCAACCTGGTGCCCGCCACGCCCGAGGACCCCGTGCCCCCCAGGCTGCTGGCCAGCGTGCCGCAGCGGCCGCACGGCGCGGCCAAGACGACCGCTGCCAACGGCCGCCTGGCCGTGCCAGCGCCGTCGGCCGTGCCCACCATCTCGCAGGCCGTGAGCGACCTGGATCGGGAGCGCGCCGAGGTGACCAAGCTGTGAGGCGACGTCAGGCGACGTCCGCGTGCGCCCGCGACGCGACAACCATTTCCCGGTGCTGGGCCTCGTAAACGGTGATAGTGACAAGCGCGAAACGCGCCAGGCTCGCGCGACCAAACGATCGGATTCGATTAAAATAAAGCCACCGGGCGTCTGGCCGCGACTCTCCCAAGCGAGACATCGAAATTCCAGTGGTTCGTTAATTTACGGTGTGGACGCCTGCTGCCGTTCGGCGTGCGTTGCTGCAACGGGATGCAACCGCACGGCCCGGCACGGCCGTGACGCTAGCGTGACGTCACCGTGACGTCACCGTGTCGCGGCCACTGCGGCCACTGCAGCCGGCGGCGGCGGTGTCGCCTTTCGAAAGAATGTGAGTCCACTGCCATTCCGGGGAGACCGGGCATTGGCACCTCCCAGAGATAGTCAAGGACAGTGTGATATCGAAGTGAGTTAAAACGACGCCGCGTTGAATGGCGCCATGTGCTCCGGACCCCGACTTAGCTGGTTGCGCGCCCTGACTGAACAATCATGAGTGATGAACGAGCCCTTCGAAATGAAGGACAATACTGTTAATGAATATTCTAGAGTAAGAAACAAGGAGCAAAATAATATTGGATGCTCTAAAAGGTCCCTTTTTGGGGGGCCCTCCCCCTGTTGTGATTTGAGGCAAACATGTGATGTTAGTGAAATGTCCATTTCTGGACCATTTCTAGTTGGTTTGTAGTTTGTACCTGAATCTGAAGACGAACCGCGTGCGAGCGGAGTGGATGGTGATTTTGACGGTGTGCCTCACGGACGCAGCACTCGTCTGTGAACGGAAACGGAAGTAAAGACATCTCTTTTATAGTATTTAGTGTGAACAACCACCATTGATCAAGTATTAAATACCATTATTATTAATATATATTACTATTTTTATGTACATGAGGACACTAATTATTTTTTACAGCGCTAAATATTTGTAAATAAACTTGTATACATCACACGCAGACTGCGTTTCTCGATTGATTTTCAAGCCGCCACCCATTCAACCCATTCACCACTCGGCAGAAACGATGTCCTGGTTTCCCAGACCCGCCCTGGGAGAATGATCTACAGCTCTCTGCGGACACTGTTTTTTACAGTGCACGCCGTACACGACGCGTCGGGGGAAGTCCCAAAAGTGATCGATGTTTGGCGCCAAATGGAAGGCGCGGCGCGTCATGATCGGCATGCAGTGACGCGCGGGGCGACGCGGGGCGACGCGGCACGGGCCTTGGACCGGCGGGACGCGAAACCGCGCGAAACTAGTTACGCTCGGTGAGGAGAGGACGCCGCCGAGGACGAGGGCCGCGCCACGCCGTGCCGCTGGCCGGTGCAAATCAGCCGCGCGGCCGGAGTCGGCTACTTCCTGTTCTTCTTCTTGCCGTGACGGCGCGCATTGGGCGGCCGCGACGCGTCGATGGTAAACGCCATGGTGGGCAGCACAGGCTGCACCGGGACGACCGCGGCGCGCCGCCACTGGCCGCCCCTGCAGACAAGGAGGGTGTGAATGCGGAATGACCCTGAGTGCGAGAGAGACAGAACGTCGCAAGCACAGCTCTGATGACGCCCTCCGCGTACAATGGGACGAGACGGGCTGTGGCCGCGCGCGGCATGGGCGCGGCCTGGGCGTACAGCCCCAGGGGGGACGCCGTCGGCAGCGCGGCCGCCACGCGCGAGGCGGCCGTCGAGGGCGACGCCAGCAAGGGCGACGACTTGGACGTGTTGAGACCGGGGCGCGGCGGGGGCGTCCCGGGGGCCGCGCTGGGGCCGTGGAGGGTGGGGGGTGGGCAGGGCGGGGCGTGCGGGCCGAGTGAAGGGGTCTGGAAGGTGGCGTGTGGCGTTCGCAGGGCGGCGTTCGGGGCCTGGTAGATGGAGTGTGGCTTGTGGAGGGCGGTTTGTGGTTGGAGGGCAGCGTTCGGGTCTTGGAGGTCGCCAGGCTGGAGGCTGCACAAAGTTCTCTTAAATACCGCACTCGACTGGTAACCCACAACCTCGACGTCCACTTACGCCACGGCCGCTCCCTGCGATGGGGGCTGCACCACGCGAGGCACCACGGCCTCCCCCGCTGGCTCAGGCGGCGGCATTGGCGAGGCTTGCGAACTTGGCAGTGGCTCCGGCAGCGCTCGAAGGAGTGCGTCGCGCTCCTCGCACTGCCGCAAGACTGTGTCCTGTGAAGTCGAGACCTCCCGCTAGAAGAACGCCGCCGTTACGACCGGTCTGCTCCGTCGGTGACTCCGGGCCGCTCGGCGCCGCTCGACCTGGACCGGGCCTCGCTTTACCTCCATGCGGGCGCACTGCCGCGCGCACTGCTCCGCCTGCACCTGCGCATACAGTGTGGGCTTCGCACATGAATGGGGAGGACACTGATTTCGAGAGTCGTTTTCGTCGCTGTCTCTCCCGCACTCATCGGGCGTCGTGTACGTGCCCGTCGGAGTACCTGCAGGGTGATGCACGTGTTCCGGAGCGTCGCGGACTCGGCCTCGGCCCTGGTCCGCTCCGCCAGCAGCCAGGACCGCTCCTCCTGCCAGGCGCCCCTCTCCTCGCCGCGCTCCGCCAGCAGTGAGCACCGCCGCTCCGACTCCAGGGCGTGCGACTGCCTGCGGGCCAAGCCGAGGGCCAAGCGGGGCGTCAAGAGTCCGCCCGGCCGAGCGATTCAGTCACAGCGCTTTGTCGCTCTGTCTCTCTCGCACCCTTATGGAGAGAGCCATGAGAGTGACAGAGACAGAGCGACGGAGCGACTCACCGCGCCTTCTGCAAGGCGTCCGCCAGGGCCTGCCGCTCCTCGGCGCCGCGCTGCGCGTTGCTCTCCAGGCGCCGCAGCGCGGCCTGCTCGCAGTGCACGCCATGGCACGCCCCGCGGGCTCATTCCGAGAGTCGTTTTCGTCGCTCTGCCTCTCTCGCACTCGTGGGGAGTGCCGTGAGGTGCGAGAGAGGCAGAGCGACGAAAGGGACTCTGGGAATCAACCTGCTGGGGCTGAGAAGGCCGAGAAGGTTGTGACTCAACGCCTTGCCTTGCCTCTCATAGCGCTCAACCGGAAGGGGGTGCGGGGTGTCACTCAGGGCTAGGGACTAGGGAGCCTGCGCCCTGCGGACTCATAAGGGTCGTTTCATCGCTCTGTCTCTTTCGCGCTTTTTGGGCACTCCGCAGGAGAGCGAGACAGACAGAGCGACGAGCCGCTCTTTTGAATCACGGAACCAATGAGGAGTGTGCAGTGCTTTGCAGTGTCCCTACCTGCAGAGCCAGCCTCTGGCCGCGAAGGGAGGCGATCTCCTCCTGGCTGTCCCGCAGCGCCCCGCGCAGCGACACGCACTCCGTCGCCACCCGCCGCTTCTCCTGCGACATGACGTCAAGGGTGGGTCCAGGACCGGCACCGGCCCCGGGGATGGCAAAGGTAGCGCTTTTTGTCAACTTGTACGGGCAAAGTGTTGTTCTTTTGCCAATTTAGCAACGGGTTGCTTTCTTCCTTACGTTCAGATAGCTTTCTTCGGGCAAAAAGGAAAAGGGGGGGGGGCAGTGGGCCAGGTGGAGGTGGTCAAAATCCAGGACGTGTTCTGAGCTCAAGAGTCGCCAAACAGGACTCGGACCGAACGTGTGACCCCACCAATGGATTCCTCGTTCTCAGAGCAATCCATTGGTGGGGTCACACGTTCGGTTCGAGTCCTGTTTGGTGACTCTTCCGGGGTTTTGACCGGCCGCCTCCACCGGTCTTCTGGCCCACTGTGCACTGAGCGCCAGAAGCTTCCCTCCCGAAAGGCGACTGTCTCGGCGCACCTCCTCGTCCCGCTGCGGCGACGGCTCCACCGCCTTGGCCACGCGGAGCTGGCGCAGCTGCTCCTTCAGCTCGGACAGCATCTTCTCCTGGACCACCTTCTCCTCCTCCAGGGAGCGCGCCACGCCGCGCCACAGCTCCGCCTGTCGATGCCAGATAAATCTCGTGACGGCGCTCGGTTTTGACATTTGCTTCGCAAAGTTGCACCAGATCAGAAAATAGAGCAGACCGTGCTCGGGGGTTTTAGGTTTCGTTCGTTATGACAGGTGGGGCGTCCCGTACCGGTGCGAGAGGGACAGAGCGACGAAAACGGCTCTCGGCGCCGAGGCATGACCAACACCAAGCAACCAACCTGGCCGGTGAGCATTCGCAGCTTATCGCGGCCGCGCGCCGTGCGCACCGCCTCCTCGCCGACCTGCGTCCGCAGCGCCTCGGCCTGCGTCCGCGCCTCCTGCAAGGACGCCGTCAGCTGGTCCGCCTCGCGCCGCGCGTGCTCAGCCTCGCGCCGGCACCGCTCCGCCTCCTCTTGCAGCCCCACGCTCTGCAACATGGAGGACGTCGTCGCACAGTGGATTTGCCAGAAGACCGGTGGAGGCGGACAGAACTCTAGACGCGTTTTGAGCTCCAGAGTCGCTAAACGGAACTCGAACCGTACGTGTGACCCCACCAATGGATTGCTCTCCGAACGAGGAATCCATTGGTGGGATCACACGCTCAATTCGAGTCCTGTTTAGCGACTCTGGAGCTCAATACGGGTCTAGAGTTTTGTCCGCCTCGAACTGTCTTCTGGCCCACTGTGCGTCGGCCACCTGCACTTCCGAGAGTCGTTTTCGTCGCTGTCTCTCTCGCACCCAGAGGCCGCCGCGTAGGCGTGAGAGAGGCAGAGCGACGAGAACGACTCTCGGAATCAGCCTGCGGTATCCACCAGCCCCACGCCTGGAGGGCAGGCAACGCCGTGTGCGACGTGCGCGTGGAGTACGATGGGCTGCCTTCTGCCTACCTCCATGGCGGCCGGCTAGGGAAATCCCTTGTAGCAGTGCTGCCACATAAATGGCAAAAAATTCACACCATGCACCAGTGTTGAAGGAGGTGCCAACCTCAGTCTGCCATCTGTTCAATGGCTTCGATGTCAAAGAAGTTGCCTATTAGTCAGGCTGATGTTGGAAACCCTTCCGATACTAGTGCATGGTGGGGTCTGGCAGGAGCTTGGAGCTCTTACAGTCCTACATCTCCTTTGAGGGTTTTGTAGCCCTAGAGCCCTGAGGCGCAATCAGTCAAATTATCACGGCGTTGTTCCCGACTCGTACTCCACGCACTGCTTCACTTTCCAGGGAACACCAAGAGGGACAGCGCCGGAACCCTGTTCGCGGGTCTTCGCGGCCGCCAACAACAACAACAACAGTAACAACGGTGCCGTACCTGCACTCGCGCCTGCACCAGGTCGGTCTCGGCCTGCCGCGCGCGCCTCAGCGCAGCGTGCAGCTCGTCGGCCGTGGCGGCCGTGGAGCGTAGCGCGTCGTCCAGGCCCGCCAGGCAGCGCGACGTGGAGTCCAGGCACTCGACCGCGCCCCGCGAGCCGCCCCCGCCGCCGCCGCCGCCGCCCCCGCCGCCGCCCTCGGAAGGGAACAGCCTCTCCGCCAACTTGTGCGCGGCCTCGCAGACCTCGCGGGCGCGCTCCAGTACCTGCAGGAATACACGGCCGTGCGCACGGCGAGCACGTCGAGCAGCAGAGTGGTTACCGTCGCTCTGTCTCTCTCGCACCGAGACGGTGCGCTCCATGAGTGCGAGAGAGACGAAGCTACAAAGGCTAGGCCTGCCTGCGGCCCTGCGGCCCTGCGGGGACACGCACTTGACGCTGCTGGTCGCGCGTCTCGGCGCGCTCCTGGTCGTACACCTCGGCCAGGGCCTGGATGCGGCTCTCCGCGCTGGCCCGGGCGCTGCTGAGCTCCCTCTCCACCAGGGCCTGACAGGCGGCCTGCAGCGCGCCGCGCGCCCACTCCACTTCGCCATCCTGGAGGACGCGGAGGACACCCAGTCACTCGTCGGCGACCTCCCGGCCGGAGCACCCCGACATCATGCGGCTAGGTGAGCGCTGCTGCCACTCACGGGCGGAACTGTCGAGTGATTCGGAAAAAGCGGTTCGTCGCTCTGTCTCTCTCGCACTCTTGGAGTGTCCCATGAATGCGTCGGAATAACAAAACGACGAGACGGCCTCCGAATCGCTATGAGGGAGGGGAATGCCTTGCGGCGCTAGGAATGCAAGGGCTGCATCGCATGCGACACAGCGGGCGCCTTACTAACCTGGTTCTTTTCAAGTAAAAGTATTTTGGCCTCGAGGTCCTGTAAGGGGAAAGACATGGCATGAGCTACATCGCTGAGCTTGGACGCGGGGTGGAGTAGCGCGTGGAAGAGCACCGAGTCCAAGAGAGAGGGACAGCAGACTGACTCAGAACGTCGTTTTCGTCGCGCTGTCTCCCTCGCAGTCACAGGGCTTTCCGTGTGGGTGCCAGAGAGACAGAGCGACGAAAACGGACGAAAACGACTGTCGGAATATCAGGACTCAGGCGTGTGGACTCACGGCAATCTCGTGCAGCACCAAGTACGACACCCCGCAGTACGTGCAGACGGTGTCGTCCCTGGGGCAGCAGCGCAGCGCGTTGGGCAGCGGGGACAGGGGAGGCCGGGCGCGCTCCGTCTTGCAGTCGGACTCCATGGGGCCCTTGGGGTCGGTGTGGAGCTCGCGTAGGCGGGGGTACAGGAACGGCACAGTTCGTCCAGGTTCATGTTACGCACACAATTTCGCAATGTCGGCCAGCAGTGTTGCCATGTGATTCCTTCCTTACTGCCCCCTTCTGAGATTGATGATCATGATATGTCGGTTTTGTTTCGTGTCCTTCATATTTTTCTTGCTAAATGTTGCACAGACACCCCGAGTTTTGCATTGAGTTCCAAACAATGTCTTTTCTTGCTGCAATATTGGCAACGAAACTGTTTTGCTACCTTCAGAGCCTTCTTGCGCGTTCGTGAAATGAAACGCATTTTTAAACCTTTGTTGAAGATTTTGATTATTTTCCATCCTGTGGCTTGCCTCTCGTAGACACAGGCATTGCGGCATTGCTAGAGGCGCGGGGGAATTAAATTGGGCGCCCAAACGGCGAATCTAGATGACCGTGCTGGTGACAGTGCTGCTCTCTGCCGGCAGCTGTCGAAACAGCCCGGCTGCTAGCAACTTGGGTGGCGTCTAGAAGAGCTCACCATGCTCACTCACTCTCACTCACTCACTGATTCCCATCGTGCACAGGCAAACTAGTTGTTGCCAGTCTTACCCCCTACTTCAACAAACAAGCCAAAAAGTGACCCAGTGGCCTTTAAACACGTTTTACTTAATTTAATCAAAGTGACTCACTCACTCCTGCGGGTGAATGAGGTGCGCTCTTTCATCTCCTGCAGGTTAGGGAATTATTGTCAAAAGTTGGCAACAACTAGTCTACCTGTGCACGATGTGAATCGGTGAGTGAGTGAGAGTGAGTGAGCATAGTGAGCTCTTCTAGACGCCACCCTGGGCTTGCCGTGACACTGTTTTCGTTCTTTGCTTTGTAAACAACCACTGTATTTACTTCAACTATGATTTAGTACTTGGATGTAAAGTGGTAAGATATATTCAACCGCTTGTTGTCTACCCTCTTTGTCGGCGCTTCGCCGTGCTTGAGTGATTTTTTCTGCTCAATGTGAGACATCCATTGATAGTTGGGCGTTTCTGTCAATGCCGGAAATCGCTAGTTAAGGCACAAATCAGCCTTTAAAGGTCCACTTATTGGACTTTTGGAGTTTACTCAGTCAGTCTTATTCTTCGCTCACCGTCTCATCTTTTCGAAAGGCTCAATTTGAGAAATACTCTTGGATAACTCGAAACCTAACCTCTGGCTCCTGTCAGGAAACCTGTCAAATGCGTACCGATTCATTCGCACCGCTTGCACTTTGTTGGCTGGGTTGTGGCCTAGTCACGCCTCCCCATTGGTGATTCAAACGTTGTTTTTGCCAATTGCAGCCGTTTCCGCCCTTCTTAAGCTTGGTACATTCCACCTTGCTGGTCTTGCTGTCTGTCTTACAATGATGTGGCCCACCATCAACTTTGCGATTCTGTGTTTCAGATTTCAAAGCCGCCGTCATGATGGCGCGCCCGATGGTTCCGTCCCAGCAAAAGCTCGCGGAAAAGCTGACACTAATAAATGACCGAGGAGTGGGAATGCTCACTCGCATCTATAACATCAAAAAGGTATTTTAAACAGACCAGTCGTTCAAACCTTTCAATTTATGTTTCTTATTATTGGCTGTGATTAGGTGTCTTAACACTCTGCACAGTGCTTTGTTCTTTTTGCTTTACTTTCTTTCATTTTCTTATTATCTGTCAATATTTGTTACAGGCTTGTGGTGATACAAAATCTAAACCAGCTTTCCTCTCAGACAAGACCCTTGAATCTTCTATCAAATATATTGTGCGAAGATTTCCCAACATCGATACCAAAGGGGTAAATTGCATATCATCAACTGCTTGCTTATTACTGAATTTTGAATGATTCACTTATGCTGATTTTTGTCTATTTGTCTTTGTAATTTAGCTCCAGGCAATAACACCAATTCGGAGTGAGATAATTAAATCACTGTCTCTTTATTATTATACTTTTGTTGATTTACTGGATTTCAAAGACAATGTCAGTGAATTGCTAACGACCATGGATGCTTGTCTAGTTCATATGGATATAGTGAGTTTGTTGTTAAATATTATGGCATGGAATATTAATCCTTTTATATGACATGAGTGCCTTATGTTGTTGTGTTTCTTCTTTTCCACAGACTTTAAATTATGACTTAACGAAAGCATATCTGGATCTTGTTATCACATATATGACCCTAATGATACTGTTGTCTCGAGTTGAGGATCGAAAAGCAGTCTTAGGGTTGTTTAATGCTGCGTATGAAATGGTGCACCAACAGAGGTGAGAATATAATGTTACCATTTTGTTTTTATTGCCAGGGAGAGATGGACATTAGAGCATGGAATGCAGTTTATTAATAATGCAAGCGTTTCCGTAATTAAATTGTTTCTCCTATATTCAGCGATTCAAGCTTTCCACGGCTGGGCCAGATGATAGTTGACTATGATCCCCCTCTAAAAAAGCTTTCAGAAGAATTTGTTCCTCATGTCAAATTGTTGTATACTGCTCTCATCTCTTTATGGCCTGTTTATATTGGCCGTAATCTAACAGCAGATAAGTGGAGGTTTGTGCTTCATCTATTTTTGGCTCACCAGATTTTGTATTGTCACTACACTTCGCAATGAAACATTATTTGATTTTGACAGATCTGACCAAAAGCTCAGCTTGTTGGGAAATCCCAATCTTCTCTTGAAACCAGTTCAGACAGATACCATGTCTTGTGAATTTTTACCTTTGGATACCATTGAAAGGTGGATTATATGTAAGTTATCTTCATGTCAGTTGGTTCAAAGAAAACATTCTTCAAAGTTAACTTTTGTTTTTAATATGCATTTGTCAATTTTCAGTTGGATTCCTCTTGTGCCATGGAGCTCTGGCTCAAGAACAACCAAACAGATTGTGGGCTAGTGCTCTAGAGTCTGGCTGGGTTCTTGCTCTTTTCCGAGATGAGGTTCTGCACATCCATGGTTATATTCAAGGTTTCTTTGATGGAATCAAAGGATATGGCAAACGTGTCAATGAGGTCAAAGACTGTTACAACCAGGCTGTTCAGAAAGCGTGAGTCCTGCTGTTTACTTTTGTTCTTTTATTTTGTTTGTGAAAAGTTGACCCTGATTTATTTTTATTTTCCTTTTTCAGAGGATATCGGCATCGTGAGAGGAGAAAATTCCTTCGCACAGCCTTGAAAGAGCTTGGTCTCATCCTTACAGATCAGCCCGGTTTACTGGGGCCCAAGGTTTTTACATAAATTCCTAGTCCTTTTATCTTTTGTTTACAAGACTCCCTCTATCACCGTTTTTAATGATTTGTTTTTTCCTGTTTAGGCTCTTGTTGTTTTAATGGCACTTTGTGCTGCTCGGGATGAAGTTCATTGGCTGTTGCGTCACTCTGACAACCCTCCCCAGACTAAATCAAAAGGCAAAGCCGCAGAAGATCTTGTTGATCGTCAGCTACCAGAACTTCTTTTTCATATGGAAGAATTGAGAGGTATTGTTATTGCTTATGCTGTATCTGCTTTTAATTCTACCAGAATTGCAAGTGTAATTTATTCATGATATTTGACTTGTGTGTTTCAGTGCTAGTTCGTAAATACAGCCAAGTTTTACAGAGGTACTATGTTCAGTATTTGTCTGGGTTTGATGCTGTAGCTTTAAATCAAATGATGCAAAACCTTGCTGTATGCCCAGAAGATGAAAGTATAATTTTGTCATCTCTGTGCAATACTATTGCCAGTCTCAGTGTGAAACAAGGTACGTAACTGCAAAATAATTTTGTCTCATTTCTTATTTGTGTGGAACAATGTTTTGTGACTTTGACCAAAATGTTCACAGTGGAGGACAATGAACTTATGGACTTCCGGCCACTTCGCCTTGATTGGTTCAGACTTCAGGCATACACCAGTGTTGGTAAGAGTGCTCTATCGCTTGCTGAAAATCGAGAATTGGCTTCTCTTATTGACACCGTTGTCTTCCATACTAAAATGGTTGACTATTTGGATGAAATGTTGGTAGAGGTATCAGACCTTTCAATATTCTGGTAAGTTTCTGGAACTTTGCATTGTTGGGCAAGTCTTTGTGTATCCTGCTAAAATTGATTTTATTTTGTGTAACAGCTTTTACAGTAAAATGTTTGAAGACCAGTTCCATATGTGTCTCGAATTCCCAGCGCAAAACCGTTACATTGTAGCATTCCCTCTGATCTGTGGTCATTTCCAAAGTTGCACCCATGAATTGTGCCCAGAGGAGGTAAGAATTATTTTGTTTGTCTCAGTGACTTGTTTGCCTCTTCCCCTTTATGCTAAATGTTATACCATCTTGCAGAGGCACCATATTCGAGAAAGAAGTCTCTCAGTTGTAAACATGTTCCTTGATGAGATGGCGAAAGAAGCCAAGAACATAATAACAACTATCTGTGATGAACAGTGCACATTGAGTGACAAGGTAAGATAAATGCAGTTAGAACACACATCCACCGGGGTTGCGGAGTTGTATTAGTGTAATTTACAACTCAATCTAAGAGTTTTACCCTTTCTGAAATTAAGAATATGGTTTAAGACGGCAGATAGTTTGATCCCATTTTCCTGTCTCTTTAAGCTTCTACCTAAGCATTGTGCTGCCCTTATATCACAACTTGCTCACCGCAAGAAGAAGGAGAAGGGAAAAAAGACAACTACTGAAATCACCAAGCCTGGAGCTGAAAGCTTTAGGAAAACACGTGAAGAACTTACAACGTAAGACATGACCTTTACTAGTAACGTTTTAAATTTTGTCAAGACTTTAAGTTAAATGAGTCGTTCTTGTTCTCAGCATGGACAAACTTCACATGGCTCTCACAGAGCTCTGCTATGCCATAAACTACTGCTCCACAATTACTGTATGGGAATACACCTTTGCTCCCAGAGAGTACCTTCACCAGCACTTGGAAACTCGTTTTGCCCGGGCCCTTGTAGGCATGGTCATGTTCAATCCAGACACTAGTGAAATAGCCAAACCCTCAGAGCTTCTCGCCAGCGTACGGGCGTACATGAATGTTCTTCAAACTGTTGAAAACTATGGTTTGTACTTTTCAGTCAGAAATTTAAAAATGTTATCCATGAAACCAGTTTGTTTATATGTAGGTGTTTATTGACCAATTGAAAATTCATTATATTGCAGTGCACATTGATATTACAAGAGTTTTCAACAATGCCCTACTTCAGCAAACACAGCAGTTAGATTCACATGGAGAGAAGACTATTGCTGCACTTTATACTCAGTGGTATGTTACACACGAAACTAAACATTTGATATTCAATTCTTATTGAACCATGTCCCTTCTTACTATGTTCTGTCTCTTTCTCCAGGTACTCAGAAGTTCTGCTCAGGCGTGTGAGTGCTGGAAATATTTGCTTCTCCATGAACCAAAGAGCATTCGTTAGTCTCACTGCTGAAGGGGCCATACCTTTCAATGCTGAAGAGTTCTCTGATACAAATGAGCTGCGTGCTTTGGCTGAACTAATTGGGCCTTATGGCATGCGTTTACTTAGTGAAACACTCATGTGGCATATTGCAAGTCAAGTTCAAGAACTTAAGGTTGTTAAATAAGTTTTTAGATGAGAGCATTCTATATCCCTCTATTTCACTATTCTAAAAATTGATTTTTTTTTTTTGACAGAAACTTGTTGCAGCAAACAAAGAAGTATTGTTGTCTTTGCGCACCAATTTTGATAAACCTGAAATAATGAAAGAACAGTTCAAACGTTTACAGCGTGAGTCAATGTATCCATTTATTTTACCATTGTGTGTGTGTACAAAGAGCATTTCAGGTGAATAGCTTTCTTTTCTTTTTCCAGATGTTGATAACGTTTTACAGCGAATGACTATTGTGGGAGTTATTCTTAGCTTCCGCCAGCTTGCACAGGCTGCATTGGTAGATGTATTGGAGGAGCGAGTACCATTTTTGCTCAGCTCAGTATTGGACTTCCGACAGCACGCACCTCCAGGCGACAATGGGAACCTGGCTGACCAATTGGTGAGACAATTCTTCCCAATAATAGTTTGTACAGTGTAGATACAGGTTATTTTGAGATACATGTTTTAATGATTTTGTGTCTTGAAATTATAATGCAGGTTGTAAATGAAATGGCATCAGCTGCTGGTTTGATCTGTAAGGTTGACCCTATATTGGTAGCTGCACTGCGTAATCATAAAAGTGGTCAGTATTGAAACTAAGCTACAGTATCTTACAGCACGTAACACTTTGTTGTACTTTTGTCTTCTTACATTAGTTCTCCCATTTCTGTTTAAAGATGTTGAAGAGGACGAACATCTATTGGCTTGCCTGTTGATGGTGCTTGTCGCAGTTTCAATTCCAAAGCTTGCCCGCAATGAGAATTCCTTCTATCGAGCCTCACTGGAAGGTCATGCCAACAATATTCATTGTATGGCCGCGGCCGTCAACAACATATTTGGTGCTCTATTCAGTATCTGTGGGCAAGGTGACACAGAAGATAGAATGAAAGAATTCCTTGCAGTAAGTTTTCTGTTTATTTTCTTAAATTTCCACCTGATATTCCTTTAAATAACCAAAGAATTTATCAATTTTCAGCTGGCATCCTCAAGTCTTTTGCGCCTTGGTCAGGAACCAGATAAAGAGGCTGTCCGAAATAGAGAATCAGTGTATCTTCTGTTGGATCAAGTGAGTTTTCTCCCACTACTGCTGTTTGTAATAGACATGCTGTGGAACATTAATTGATTTGTGTTTCCCGTTTCAGATTGTGCAAGAGTGTCCATCTTTGACAATGGACCTTCTTGAGTCCTGCTTCCCGTATGCCTTGATAAGGAATGCGTACCATGCTGTGTACAAACAAGAACACTCACAAGCCTAGGAGGCAGTTCTCTTGTGGTCTCACAATGTTTTAAAGTTAACCCAAATCTTGTTTTAAGAAAAGGCATTTTATTATCCATTCAACCATGTTATTTTATACTTTAGTTGTATGTGCTGCAAATGAGGTGGCGTTTGTTAATGTAGGACATAGTTTAATGCCATCATATGCCTACACAATTCATATATTGCCATAAATGGATTTGTTTGATTGTAGATGTGATTGTAAGGGAAGTTAAAGTGGTGTATAAGATTATGAGGGGATTGAATATTTTGTTTGAATTTAGAACAAATCATTTCTTGTTCGGATTTCTGAAACCGAGCTGACTCGATTGTTAATGAATGATTGAATAATCTTAAAGGAAGCCAAAGTTCTGATTGGCTGGACTTGTGCATTGTTTTATCTCGGTTTTCTTTTCCTGTACCTGTTGGCATTAAGGTTAATTAAAGTGATGAACCATTGCAGAGACTAATTCTATGCAAGACATTTATTAACAGTTGAGTCATCTCAGAGTAGCCTTTTATATATTGCTTATATGTGATAGGAGTTTTTCATTATAGGTTTACCTAAAATGTCTGTAGATTTTGGAAATGATATTTATTAGTGTAAAGCTATGCATAAACTGTAGCTTGAGCAATTTTTTTGTGCCCTTTTTTTGACTGAGGAATGTTTTTAAGAGTCCACAGTTCATTTGTTTTGAAAAGAAAAGGGATAGTGGGTTACCAGTCCTGTTCAGTGGTTTCAGAACAAGTACTATTTTCTTTTCTATACTATCTACTAAATAACTCATCTTTATTTCTATGGTTCAATCACTCTGATGTAGGTGAAGTATACAAGGATCAAGTGCGGTGTAACAGGTTGTGTGCATTTATGTGTGTTCTCATTTCATTGTAACTTTCTCTTAGTCCAACCAACAATCGTTGTAACTTGATTGTTTTGTATTATATCTTCAGTACAAACATAAGGTAAGTCCGTGACAAAATTAAATGAATCCAAGATAGAAGGTGCTAGTTCTGTAAAGAAGGCTCTTTCATATGTGGTGCTTTTACCATACATCAGTTGATGTAAAAGGAGTTTCCTGAATTCAATGTATTCAGAAGTGAAGCCTCATGATCATCTTGCAGCTGCAACCAGCTTCAAGATGAAGCCATCCAAGGATTAGGTTAATATAATCATGAGTTATTTACTATACTTGATTGTGCTCAAAATTGAATTCTGTACTATTCAAATATTAATATATTTATTCCATTTTGTATACTGTTGTAATTTTGATACTTGTTTAAAATGGAACCCATATAGGTGTTTCAAGAAAAAGGTTTACATTATTGAAATCCTGGTAACAATAGCCCTAGTTCATGAGATTTTTATTCACACGTCTGAACTGATGGTTGAAATATATACATTTCTAACATGAAAGCAGTTTGATTTATTTCTGTATGACAAGTACTTATCTAATTATGACACTGTATTACTTTCGTCCATTAATGCTATCAACAGTTTGCCAACACTTCAGACAAGAACAGTTGATTGTAATAGTTACAGTTGAACATACAATCACAACAAAGATAACTAATTTAAAAACTATTTCGGGTCTGATTTTCCAGAATCTGACTTTTCTTTTGAGGCTGCTTCCAGAAGTGCTGATGAAATGCCTGCCTTACGCAATTCTTCGATGAGATCTCCACTTTGATGCATTTGTAATAAAATATCGCAGCCACCTACAAATTCCCCATTGATGAAAACTTGAGGAATGGTTGGCCAGTTAGAGAAGTCCTTTATTCCTGAAATTGCGAAAAAGGTGAAATGATATTAAGCACTGCGAGGGTTATGGTTGAGTTGAAATTGACCAAAACTACCAAATACTACTTACCCTGTCTGAGCTTCTCGTCGGAGAGGACGTCATGGGCGTCGTATTCAACGCCGTGCATTCTCAAAATCTGTACGACAGCATTACTAAAACCACATCGAGGCTCGGCCGGTACACCCTTCATGAAAACGACAACTTTGTTGTTTTGAACCATCGTCGCTATACGACTGTCTTCGGTTCCATAAAAGCGTAGGCTTGACAGCGAGGGTATTGATTTGTTCGTTATGGTTGCATGACGTAAAGCACGACCTAGCACTGCTAAAGACATCTTTTCGTAGAGCTTTTAACTCGATTCCACTTTACCTTAACCTAACCAAGACCTTAGTACGCGAATGGCAGACGACGCCTGCCTGCACACAAACACAAGTGTGACGTCACGAAACAGCTGAAAAGGGGAGAGGAGGGAGAGGGAAGTCTGCTGAGCGCGATGGGTTGCCTACTATCCCGGCGCTTGCTCGAATACTTCCAGACTGTTTAGGGCCGTCATGGTCCTCGAAATGACGTCAAGAATCATAAGGAAGTGTTCCAGCGCGGATGTTCACATCTGATGTTTTTGCGTGATGGGGTGGTGCTAGGGTGGTGTGGATGTGAAGCCCGGTTCGGTGGCTGTGTTAAAGGTTAGTGCGGTCAGTGATTCTGTATATTTGGTTGATAGCCGCCCTACGGTGACGACGGCCCCGCAGGGCCCTCAGAACGATGAAATCATGGTGTTCTGTTTTGATCATATGACTTGCCCAATAAAATAAGTGAAACCAACTCAATTACTTCTTCTATTTATTCTCAAACAAGACAACAAAATCACATACACTTCTTTGCAGTACATCAACTGACTAAATAGTAAAAAATATAAGTTCTTGTTCAAAAATAGACAGAATCCTATGTTTCATGTGGTTTCTCTCAGCCTCATTGATGGGCAACACATTAAAAAAATTAGACTAGTTAGCTTCAGGGAGGACATTACCAAATCTCTTTTATCGTGTCTTAAAATCGGTTTTGACCACTCTGGAATCTTTAAAAAAATACTGGTGGTGAGGTGAATCTGAGATGAGTGGATGCAACCACTTCAGAACCCGATATAACTTCCAAATCGGACACATATTTTATGGAGTTAATTAAATAATTTGAGGTGTTATTGTAACATTGCCTAATAGATAGTTCATCAAAACATCAGTATTAAATTAAATGACATTGGCCTCATGACTTTAAGTCGCAACAGCAATTAGAAACCTATCCCAACCCAACCCCCACCCTGCAGAAGTCAATATTATCGCACCACATGAACTAAGAAAAACATAAGAGATATTACAATAGAGTATAACACAAATACAACTAAAATTGACACAAGCAATCCTACCTATTAGGTGGCCATAGAACAAACTTCACTGCAGTATCTTCAAATACTGAAAAAGAGATATACATGCAGTATAGTTCTATTTTATTTAATAAAAGAGAAATGAACACTAAAACGTATTCATTGCATTTTTCAATTGAAAAAACTTAAGTCAGGTACATAGTGAACCAACATTGAAAAGCAATTTTCACATGTCCAAAGTTTAGGAAGGGAAATTTTTCATACTATCCCTTTATCACAAAAATGACCACCTACTAGGTACTGTCCAAGAGATGGCTTAATTAACCTTGAGTCAGGGACTAAAACCACTGATGTTACTAAAGCTAAATCTTAAAATTAATGCCCATACACTCAATTGTGTACACTGTACAGTAGTTCAAAGGATAAAACATTTATAAACAACCTATATCATTTTACGACAGATAAAACAAAACATGTAACATGTACACATTAACAAATCATTGATAGTTAGAAAGTGTTTAGGAATCTAATCACTTAGTCAAACATTCTAACATACAACCATCCAGAAAGAAGGCGCGGGTAAAAATTTCGTGACATTGATGATATCACATAGATGTGAATTTAAAAATACATTTCAAAAGTGTTCTGTATTCCTGGCAGTGACACAAAACAATTAACAAATGGACAGTATGTATACGTGAAAAATTTAACCTCTTAAATCTAACAAATAGTGTAGCATAAAACACTAGCTTAGCTTAATGTTTGAGTGAAGTTAAACTCTTGGTTTGATTTTATGGTTAATTAATGGAACATTGGGTACTTCTTTCACTCTTGAATAAGGAATGAGTACTTTCAGAAAACACGAATCAGTCTGTAGAGTGAAAACAGCAATGGAAGAAACCCACCAATGGACTTTAACAATAACTAGACAAGAAAACAATTCAACCAACAGACCAAATTTTCAGCATATTCCTGGTGTTAACAGTTTCTGAATAGAAGTCTGACATATGCCATCATTAATGAGACAACAGATGTCAACAAATTAATCGGTATTTCTTGTTGTCCCCACAATAGTAATAATGACATAACAAAATAGTGAGTAAAACAGAAAGAGGAAAGATACTAAACGTAATGCGGCAACAGTTCTTTGTCATATACAGCTGTCTAGGTATCAGACCAACCAATGTCTGCTTAAACAGCTGTCCAGGTAATGGACCAATGAAAATAAATAGAGACAGAATATGGCACTTCAGGCAATAGAAAATAGCCACACAAGGGTTACACATAACCGATGAAATTAGAAACACATGTCATAAAACACAGGGGAAAAAATTGATTATGAGAAAACAGACACAGTATTACAAAACATATAAAGCATGATCCATGAGACAAGAGCCACCCTTGTCTCATGCATGATCCAATACCATTTAAATCATTGGATGACGTGATAAGTCCATTTGCTGCGATGCAAGAGACATTTTACAAACATACTTTTTAACCACACTGCTTCATTTGGGTTCTAACTTACATAAACTAATTTGTACTAGAACTGAAGATAAGTTTACAAAGTAAAAATAATAACATTTAAAAATATAAACTCAGTATGTAAGTACTGTGCCTTTGCATAATTTAGGTGCAAAGTAAAATTAGTATGAACTACATTTTTGTCATTATATACTCAGACCATTGTTAATGGGCAAATTTTGCTTTTAACATATCAAAACACACTTGTATGACTGAAATATGTACATGCTATTTTTCTTCCTAAACAAATGATCTTTGGAAACCAAATATTTGCATACCGGTAAAAAATTCATTCAAATCAGAATGACAAGAAAAAGCTTAGCATTCAGATCCTACTGACACTACATGACATAGTATTTACATTTATGATACATTGTGTTGTACTTCAAATGTTTATGTACACAAAGATGCACATCAGAGATAAGAAAAAAACAAGTTGGAGAAAGGAAGGTATAAATCAAAACAACACATACAAATGCCACAGCAAGGGGTTAATGGGACAGTTTTGAAAACTCAAAACTCACGAGTAAAGTGAAAGAAAACAATAAAATTTGTATATGGAAATGAAAGATTATATTCTTCTTCGCCGAGGTTGCAAGGTTCGAGATCTTTGCGGTGTAGAGGGTCCTGATCCCATGCTGAAGCCTCCGCTTCCTGCGAAACAAAACAGAAGGTTGAATGATAAGAAATTTTAGGACCCAAAACATCGTAAGGAAAAGGAAATTTTTGAAGATTCCTAAGAGGAAAAAAGATTGGGTTGTAAGAGCATGTTTTTTTCTTTTTTATCAGCACATGTGTGTACCTTCTATAATGTCGATTTACAACAATCACTCACGCTTCTAACACACTAGGTGAAAAATAAAGCACAGCGGTCATCCTAAGTTGTTATTATAATTTTGCCCTCTTCAGCAAGCTCTGGAAGCCTTGGACGATTAGAAAAGCATGGTATGAAGAAAATATGAGCAGGCAGGGGTTAGCAGAGTCCGGTGTCCAGGTTTAATTTGAGACACAACAAAAGTACAGAAGTGTCATCAGAGCAAAAAGTTGTCATGTGATTGTGACTGGAAATTGTGTAGCTATAGCTCTCAACTAAGTCATGTGAGTCATGCAGTTAATTGATTGTATGATTTTATATCATTTCATTCATAATACCATGGTATACTACTTGTTTCGTCAACAACCAAAAGAAAAGAAAGAAAGAAAGAAAATTTCCGGATTAATTAAGACATATTGAATGCAGTTTGAATCTGACTTCATGTATTCGAGGAGACACATGACGAAACTGCATAGGATGCCTATAAATCAAATTTAGTAATGAAAAAATATCTAAATGATAAAATAGCAATTTCATAACAACAAGGCAAGCCTTCTACACCAGCAACAATTTAAAATTGATTATTTAGATCTCTTGCATTGGTCAAAGACTGCATAAACAAACAATTTAAAAAAGAAAGAAACATGGGCTCTAAAATGCAGCAGTACCATGGTAAAAGTTTAAATTTATGAGGCTAATAGTGCAATCAAAGCAAGCATGTTTGTTAAGCGTCATCCTCATGAAATAGAACATTTCGATATAATTTGAATGCAAACTTGACTGATATTGGAGACTCATAGGACTCACTCACGACTCAAAAAAAATAGGAGGCAAATGTTAGCAGAGTATAACAGCTGATGAATTGATGAAATATCTGCCACACAGTGCACAGAGCCATGCCTCACACACAAGAGCCAGGCTTACCGATAGTGAAGCTGCCAATGCCAAGAGGAAGAGGATTTGTGGCAGTTCCATATGGTGGACTGGAGGCTCCAAAGCTGAACACTTTCAACACAACAGTGCCAAATTCATAAGTTAAAAAAATGTAATGTTGTGTATGATGCTTCTGTTTTTGATGTCTTTATCTTTGATGCAGCATGGTGTACTTATTTAAACATTCGACAGAAGGAAACCTATTTGAAACTAACAGAGGGACCCCATTTGGCAGACTGTGGCACTACGTAGGTATCATTAAATCATCAAAGAACCATGGACCTGATGAGTGATCCTTGGGATGAACTCCTTTTTGAAAGAACCCATTGAGATGAACAAAAGTTTAATGACATACTTAAAATTTAGCTTTAACTTACCAGGTTGTGCAGAGGGTGACCCAAACTGGAAGGGAGGAGGTGCATTCGGATTTGTTGCTTGACCAAACTGGAATGGGGCGCCACCATTGCTTTGATGTTGTTGTTCATTGCTACCAAAGCCAAAAGCTGGGGCTGCAGATGTGGAGCTTGCACCAAAGCTGAAGGCTGATACAGCTGGCTTGTCTGAAGAAGCTCCAAAATTAAACGCGCTGGTAATATTGGCAGCTGGAGCAGCTGAGGTGGTAGAACCAAAGGCAGGTTCAGCTGTCACTCCAAATGAGGGTATGGATGTGCTTCCGAAGCTAGGAGCAGCTGCAGGAACTGTGCTGCTCCCAAATGCTGGCGGGTTTCCAGAAGACAAGCCGAATGCAGGAGCAGTATTAGATGCAGCTGGCCCCCCAAAAGACACTGCAGATGGTTGTGACGACCCAAATGGCGAGCTGCCTAAGGATGTTGATCCAAAAGGAGAGGCACTGAATGATGACACATTGTTGTGTGTGGAGAATCCAGTTGTAGTTGTGGCTCCGAAGTTTGGTTGCTGAGATGCTCCTTCTCCAAAAATAGATGGAGGTGATGAAGGTTGTGCACCAAAAGTCGCACTAGGACCCTGCTGGCTCTGAGAGTTTCCAAATGAAAACAAACCAGGGCTCTGCTGCTGATTTAGTTGCTGACTTGGTTGTGCTGCAGATGTGGCAGGATTTGCGATTGAATTAAATCCATTGAATAATCCCTGGAAAACACACACAATATATCATTAGAAATAATTCACAAGGTAATGAAGTTATTCGTTTTCTGTTAATTTATTTTATACCTGAGCTGGGTTGCGGAATGCGGATGATGTATTTGTAGCAGAGTCAGCATTGGTGTTTGCTGCGCCAAAATTGGTTCCCAGCTGGAAAGGTGATTTCTGAGAGTCGTTAGTCGAAGGATTCCCAATGGGTTGAGCAAACGTGAAAGCAGCCGAACTTGTTGTCTGACGGACGGCAGTTGTTGACACAGTTCCAAATGTAATACTCCCACTTGCAGAAGCAGACTTGGGGTCAGCGGCAGATTTTTCCAGAGAAGAATTGGCAGCTGTTGTTGGTGCAGGGCCAAATGAAAATGATGGCAAGCCATTTGCAGCTGACTGACCTACAATGTCAGAAATAAAATCAATTGAGTAAAATGCAACTTGAATACTGAACTATGTTTTCAAGGTTACTGTGAATAGCTAGAATCAAGCTAACTAGAACTTACCAAACATGCTTCCAGATGATCCACTGAACTGAAATCCCCCAAAAGAACTCTTCTGACCACTATTTGGTGAAGATACAACAGCCTGGGCCTGATTAGAAGTATTGATAAGGCTGGTTGTGCTTGAAGGGAGACTTAAAGCATTGCTGGTGCTGGTGGGCCCATTCGCTTGAGGCTCTGGCTGGGTTGCAAAGGTGCCAGAGCTGATGGAAAATTGTGGCTTCTCACTGGGCAGTGAGAACTTTGCACTCTCCACAGAGGTCACAGGAGTAGAGTCCTTTGCACTACCCACAGCAAATATAGAAGCTGAGCTATTTGGCTGAATGGGTGAAAAGGAGAACCCAGTGGTTTGTGAAGGTGGTGCTGCGGGTTTTGAAGACATTGCCAACAGAGAGGCGACGGCAGAGGGTGGCTGAGAAGCTGTTGTCTCAGAGTTTGGTTTGATAGGGGAGACACTGAACTTGAAAATAGACGAGGCAAAGGAGGTCGCGGTGGTGGTACTTGGGGATGTTACACTTGCAGTCATAGAAGGAAGAGATTGAGACACAACAGGCTGCGAAAGAACCGTGGAAGTAGGTGGGCTGAAGTTAAACATGGGTTTGGTTGGTGGTGGAGATGATACACTCAGTGCAGAGGGTGGGACTGCTGTTGATTCTGTCTTATCAAGGGAGCTATGAACAGTTACAGCTTCTCCTTTGGAAACAGCGGCTCCAAAAGATGGCACTGAAGCAAACGAAGAAACTTGAGCAGACGAGGAGCTGACAGGGGCCAGCAAGGATGTGAGAGGTGCAGGAACTGATATGGCTGGTTGTACTGCTGGACTGTTGGACTGGCTGGTTACAGATGACTGGAGTTTACTAGCCAGTTCTGAATTTGAAGTGGCCTGAAACAAATTCCCAAATCCCATTACTATAGCTTCTTTTTTTTTCATAGGGAAGTAATACTTTTACAATCAGAGTTTTCTTACCAATGATACAGGGCTAGAAATAAGAGTTGCGGGTTTATCCAACTCAGCAACATTGCTGATGGTAGTGGTGGCTGGATTGGTCGGGTTTGTTCCAAGATCAGCAGCAAATAAAGCATTGCTACTTTTCAGAGGCAATATTGCAGTTTGAAGCGGAGCACTCTCTGAAGTTTTGGCAAGATGAACATCTGAGAAAATATACACAAAAAATAATGGGATATAGTGTACATAAGAAGACGACACAATATTATAATAAAAACCACAACTGACTACTGCAGAACATAACACAGCATACCTTCACCACACATTCGAGACAAAAGACTTTGAAACCGTTCTGGTCGGTCTATTTCTGATGAATTGCTTTGCTGTAGAAGACATCTTTCATCTGCATCTGGAGGTTCTTGTGCCCAGGAGCTGCCTTTCTTTTCAGGAAGATTGACTTTTGGATGAGATCTGGAAGCAATATCCTTGCGGAAAAGCTTTGAGGTCAAGTCAGTTTCAACTTTTTCGTGCTGTTCAATAGAAGTCTTTGGGCTATCAGTAGATGTCACAGGTTTAGGTTTAGCAATATGATCAGTTGTTTCTGTAGCCACATTTTTCCTCTGGACAGTTACATTGGCTGCTATCTGATTTGAGTCAGGGGTAGATTTTTTCTGTGATCTTACAACCTCCTACAACAAAAAACATAAAAGAGATAAGATAAGAACAGAAACAAACTAGAAATAAAATGACAACTTTCATCTCCTATTAAGAAAAGATAGAAGGGCTTTACCTGAGTTCGGGCAGCACTCTTTCCCTCATCACATGAACGAGACTGAAGCCAAGGTGAAGTGGACGGCGCAGGGTCTGAACTGAACCCATCTTTGAATTGCTTTTCCCTGCCGCCATCTGAATATTCATCTATCAGCAAGGCATAAAATAAAAAGACATCAAGAATTAAAGATGTGGGTAAAATTTAGATTGATGAAAAGCCTGTATGGTTAGTTTGATCAGGAATATAGAATACATACGGTCTGCTTTACGCTTGTTTCCACTAAGTTGTTGAAGCAATGTCTTACTGGAACTCAATGAGCTAGATATTTCATTATTTGTTGATATTGGCCTCCCATGTTGCCTCTGCCTTTTAGGTTCATTAGCTTTTGAAGGGTCATCATGCCCCCTCTTAGTCCTTGGTGAAAGAGAAAGAGGTTAATATAAAGGACAACACTGAATAATTCGTATTGATAAGGATGATGATGATAGTAATAATACAGGGATACTTACTGTGACGTAACTTCATTTTGGACATTTGTTGGTAAGGCAGATGGTATTGGAGGAGCCCTGATATGACGGTACTGATACATATCACAATTTGGGTTGGGCAATGCAGAATCACCTTTTCTTTGGCGTTTTTTTCCAGGATCTTCTTCCTGAATGACACCAAAGAGGAACAGAAAAAGTGTACATTAAGTATATGATCACATATACATCACACACAGACAATATGATGACGAAATGTTAGTAAACAAGCAAAACAATAAATAACAACAATATAATAAATATTATTAATAATAATAAAAAAATAAAACACACCAAAACTTCCTGGCACTGAGAATATATGCGTTTGCGTGAGGCTTCCTGTAGACTTTCCAGCACAGATTTGGCGACTTCATTTCTTCTAATAGATTCTCGTGTGGCATAGGACCTCATTTGCATATTGCTTCCTCTATGAAAATGTTGCCTACAACTAAATCAAAGTAAGGACATTAGAAATAACGCTCAGATAAAACAACAAAGAAACAAGACAAGAAAAAACAAGTAAAGACATACTTTTGCTCAGAGAACATGGGGGCAGCAATTCGGACACGAACTGAGCTGTTAGGTGCCTTCTGACTGTTCTTGGGAGACAATGAAGGGATTGACGGAGCATTCAGATGCACAACAGGGAATAACCCAACAGATCCATACTTTTCTTGCCGAGCTGAAGATCCACTTTGACCCCAATAATTGGCAGTGTTGTCATTAGCGCACCGCACAAGCCTATCAGTAAATCCTGGACTGTTCACATTGACAAATATGCTGAAATGAAGACATAAACAGATCAGAAATGTTAGCAATAAAAATATTGCATCATAATCATGAATAAGAAAAAAACAATGAACATACCCAGCGTCAAATGCTGGATTGAAGCGAGCCGATGATAATAAGGGACCAGCTGCTGTTTGAACCTTGTTGCTGTTCGGCCGATGGCGCAATCTCTGATTAGAATTGGTCTCCACATAGTTCTGGCACGCTTCTTGCCCTTGCACACGTGATGTCTTGGGCGTGCTGATTCTACCAAAGTTGAGCTGACGGCTGTCACTGACAGCACCCTCCACTGAAGACCGCATTGGCAATTGCAAAGGTATTGGGCTGCCTGAGCCATGGCTGCTTGTTGGAGTCCCACGTGGAGTTGAAGACACTATTTCATCAACAGGGCTTCTACGGTTCTTGAGTGTTTCAATGCCACTGGGTACGTGAGGTATGGGGCTAGGCAGGTCCACACCACTGATGAGGTTGGAGCCATAGGTAGATGTCGCTGGACGCTCAATCACAGTAACAGGGGGCCACAAAGTTGAAGAATAGTGCGCGTAGTACTCAAGTAAAGTCGCACTGTTGATGTAGGAGGCATATCCAAGCGCACTTAACGTTATGGCAGCTAAGGTTAGGTACGGATACGCCAAAAACAGAAGTCCCACGACAAAAAGCAAAGCAGACGCTATAAACAGCGTGTTGTTTGTTACGTTTGCCATGACTGCCACAGATTAAACCGCAGTGAGAGTCTAGATACCATGGCGTAAGTGCACTTCCATAACAAGGTGAGATTCTTCAAAGTTATTGCACCAAAGCTGGGCAACACTTTTTTGTTGATTTTGTTTTGTTTTTGAACGCGCCGCAGCCTTCTCTCAAAAGTGGCGCGGGGACCAAAGGGGAAACCAAAATGGCGGCCGTCGCGACGAGGATAAGGATCTTGGAGGAGGAGTATCGGCGCGTCGGCGCGCGGTGTCTCGCACGTTTCGTGCTGTACAGTCACGCGAGTTCGTCGAACTCGAAGAGGGACGTCCCACCCACACCCCACCCCACAGTGCACAGCACAGTGTCCGTTCCAACCCTTGCATCCCTTGCGGCGAAGAGTGTGTCGCGGGGGGAAGAAACCATGATGAACAGTTCGAAAATCAAATAAAAGTTACGAAAGCCAGAAAGTGGAGAAAACTTGGAGAGAAACCGATAATACACAGAGCCGTCGCAAAATCTGAGCAGTCATGTGTTTCTGTGACGCTGGCCTGTGTCACCAAAGGACACGTGACGCGGCCACGCGGGGCGCACCGCACGCGATAGGGGTGGCTTTCAGTGTGCTTGCAGCCCCCAGCAGCTGCCGCCCTTCGCACACCTTCACCGCATTGCACCCCTTGACCTCGATGCAAACTGCAAACCGCTACACTGTGCCACGGCGCCACGCCACGCCCCTGGCGGCACGCAGAGGTAAAGTAAGTGCGACACAGCGCCTGCCGTGGCGTGCCGCCGCCGTGCCCTGCCACCGTGCCCCGCCCCCTGGGTGCCCCTGCACTGGGTGTGGCGTGGGCCCCTTGGCCAGGCCTCCGGCAGGCCCCGGCGGCCCCGGCGGCCGTGGCGCTAACTCGGTGCAAGGTGAGGTTCGGCATTAGTCGGGCTGAGCCGCCAGCGAGGCCGCCAGTCCCTGGCAGTCCCTTGGAGGCCTTCCAGGCGGGCGCCGCCACCTCCCTGCCGCCACGACCCAACAAGACCCGCGAGCCCCGCGTCGCGTCGTCGCACCGCTCGTCGCCGACCTAAGACGACCTGAGAGGACGCCCCCGCCCATGGCAAGATGGTCTTCCTCGACTTGTCCGCCGCCGCCAGGGAGGCGTACTTCCGGCAGACGGACGACTGTCTCATTCCGGGGTGGGTTTGTGTGAGGAGGGTTGCCTCGTCCAGGGCACGTGGCACGTGGTGAAGGCCAGCAGAAGCGACTCCGAAGAACCGTCTCGTTGCTGTCTCTCTCGCACCCTGACGGGACGCCCCATGAGTGCGACAGAAACAGAGCGACGAAACCACTCTTCGGAATCGGTCTGCTGCAGGTGCACGTGGCTGGAGGGAACGACCAATGCGCAAAGAAAGTACCCGTCACCTGTGGCGCCCGCACCGCATCGCAGTTCTCTCGCCGTTGAAAGTCCTCTACATGATAGAACTGGCAATTCTCATAGCAAGTCGCCACTAATCGTGGAGATGTCTAAAGACAGCTACAAACGTTCGGTCCCTAAGATGGTTGAATATTAGATTAGATCTTACACTAAATCCAGTTGAAATTGGACAAACTAGAAATTTATTCTCTGCAGATTTGAAGGACACCTAGAAGTGCGTTGCTGGCCACTCTCAGCAGTGTAGGCGTTGGTGAATCGGTGCGTCATGTCCGCCGACATCAAGTTTGGGGGGGTTGAACATTGAGCTATCGTCGGTGACGAGCGAAGTAGGTCGTGTTTACAAACGGGGATGCGACGGTGTGTGGGCCGCGGGCCGCGAGCCGGGAGCCGCGCCACCCCCTCGTGCATCCGCCGTTTCCCTGCCCCACTGAGACCTGCCGCCTGCCGCCTGGGCCGCGGCATGGCCTAGGGCCGCCTGGGGCCCACGGTCGCGGAACCAGGCACCAGCGGGCACCGCCCTACCGGGTGCAAGGCCTGCAAGGGCGGGGGTAGGGTGGGGGCCTCCGAGCAGGGCGGGCCGGAAACGCGGAGAGAGATTGGCACGATGACGGAGAGGCCGAGAGGGATGGAAGATATCCTGGAGGCGCTAGTTGCGGCGGCCCTCCCGGTCGGTGTTTGCCGTGGCCCTTTCGTGTTTCTTTTTTCGCGTGGCCCCGCTCCGCTGGCTGCCTTGCGGCGAAAAGCGCCAGGAAGCGACGCCGTGCCCGACAGCCAAGCCGACAGCGCAGCGGCAGTTCTGTCATGTTAAAAGTGGACGGGGGCAGGACGCAGGGGCCGGGGGTCCTGGTCCGGGCCAGTTGGCTGTATAAGGAAGGACCGGGACTGGGTACACTGGTCGCGCCGGCCCGCCAATGAGAACAATGTCTACCGGCTCGATCACCTTCAGGCCGCTTCAGACAGTCCCCCTCCCCAAACTCTTCCCTCGGAGTCGATACCCGCGGTACCCCTTGGGCGGTCCGCCGTCCCGGCCGACCCGCGCAACAAGCGAATCCTTTGCCCGCCTTGCCACTGCACTGCCTGGCGCGCGCCGCGTAGTGCGCGTAGTGCACGGCCAGCCTCCCCCGCGACCCGTCCGCGGCAGTCCGCGGCCCGCAGCGTCACGCCGTCACCTTGCCGCCCGCAGCGTTCTGACTTCTGACCGTTCTGACAGGACCTCGTCATGTGCAGGTACACGGGGCACTGCCCCATGCTCAAGTTCCGCTTCGGCAAACCGTACGGCGCTAACACCAAGGACATCCTGAGGGTGAGTAAAAGCCTGTAGTCGAAGTGTCGTTCCATCCAAGGGTTCTCTTTGACGGATGTCTTTGCCTCGCGCAGGAGCTGCGCGAGCGTGCCAGCCCCGGTTCCCTGGGGTCGCAGTTCCGCTACGGCGAGCCGCACTACCCCACCGAGTTCCCCCTTCGCCGCGTCCACAGCGAGGACCCTGGCCACCGCGCCCACGGCGACCGCGTGGCCCCGCTGGGCGCACAGCGGGCGCGCCCGTTCGTGCTCGGCTACACTGGTAGGACATGTCGCTGTTCGATCCCCGTCCACTCGTCCTCTCCGCCATGGCGCGCCACTGTGAATGGACACCGTTGCAGGCTTCATCCCCGGCATGACGTTCCGGTACGGCACGTCGTTCGGGCGCGCGGCCGACGCGGCGCTGGCGCTGCTGCAGGCGCGCACCGTGGAGCAGGCGGCGCGCAAGGCCAGGGCCGCCCGGGACGTGCAGGTAGTGCTGCAGACTGATTCCGAGAGTCGCTCACACCGCCCTGTCGCTTTTGCACTCATGGCGCGTCCCGTAGAGGTGCGACAGAGACAGCGACGAAAATGACTCTCGGAGTCAGTCTGCTAGTCGCAGTTAGTGGCAGTGCGTCGCCCACCTTGCTGCCCCTGCACAGCACAGTGGGCCAGAAGACCGGTGGAGGCGGCCACAATTCTAGACGCGTTTTGAGCTCCAGAGTCGCTACATGGGACGCAAACCAAACGTGTGACAGATTGCTCTTTGAACGAGGTTACATTGGTAGGGTCATGCATTCGATTCGAGTCCCAATCAGCGACTCTGGAGCTCAAAACGCGTCTAGAATGTTGGCCGCCTCCACCGGTCTTCAGGCCCACTGCGCCCTGCAGCCGCGCTTGGCGGCGTGGTGACCATTCCTTGTGTGCAGGCGAACCCTCCGCCGCCGCAGCTCAGCATCCGGGGCCGCGACGTGATCCCCGAGGCCATCGCGCAGCCCGACGCCTTCAGCGCCGACCGGTACAAAGGTGCGTTGTGCGGTGTAGCGTCCTGCCGAGCCATTCCGAAGAGAGTCGTTTCGTCGCCGTCTCCCTCCCACGCCTCCAGGGTGCGCGATGAGTGCGAAAGAGACAGAGCGACGAAACGACCTTTCGGAATCAGTCTGCTGCTCCTGCTGCTGCTGACACAGCGACACGGTGCGCGACTTCCGCATGAGAGCATCTGCAAATATTTCCCGAAAGTATTTCGGTAGCGTGTGCGCGAGCCGGAGGGAGGGCCCGCCCACGCACACACTGGGGACAAACGGGTGACGTCATCGTCCTGCCGGTGCTGACGGCGGCCGAGTAGACTGTTGACGCGTTCGTGTTGTTGACAGACAGCCACATCTCCGCGGCGCTGCCACCCATCGCGGGCTACACGGGGCACATCCCCGGGCTCAAGGGCACGGAGGCCAGCCTGTCGCAGCGCTACCACACCGCCGTGACGCGGGGGCTGCGGCAGCTGGAGCACGAGCTTCAGCTGCAGCGGCAGTCGCCCACGCACGCCGTCGCCCTCTCCAGGACCGCCAGGACGCCGCACTACAACGCGGCGCAGCCCTAGATGGCGCAGACCTGTACTGTGTTGTTTCCTTGTCGCACAGTGGGCCAGAAGACCGGTGGAGGCGGTCAGAATCCCGGACGTGTAGTGAGCTCCAGAGTCGCGGAACAGGACTCGAATCGAACGTGTGACCCCACCAATGGACTCCTCGTTCAAAGAGGAATTCATTGGTGGGGTCACACGTTCGGTTCGAGTTCTGTTCCGCGACTCTCGTGCTCAAAACACGTCCGGAATTTGGACCGCCTCCACCGGTCTTCCGGCCCACTGTGTGTCAGCGGCCTAGCTGCCGGGCCGGGAGAGGCTTAGAGATACCAAAGGGCGCCTGGAAAGTAGGCCGCGCACGTGACGCCTTTGACGTTGGGCTGGGAGAGGTCACCACAGCGCGCGACCCACCGATACGCCGATACTCCGCGCTCAAGAGGCTGCCGTTGCTATCCTGGCGATCTCGGGGTGAACCCCCGGAACACAATCACGAATCTCAGAGCTCAGAATCTGTAAAACAGCAGTTTGACCGCGAAGGTTCAGCAGCCGCCCGCCTTTCGCCGCGTTTAGCGCCTGTGAGGTAGGCCACAATCTCGTCCCGTAAAACACCGGCGCGGAGACGGTGGCCTACCTTGCCCCTGCGATGACGACAGGGGCGAGGTAGGCCTCCCTCCCTGCACCAGTGTGTTGCGCGATAGGCAGATGGCCTACCTCACAGGCGCTAAACGCCACAACCCAGCGGTTCTACTGAGAAACCCTCACGATAAGGCAGCACTCGTGTGGCCGCAAACAGGGGCAGTACCCAACTTAACGACGTTGATTGTTTGTGGATACGTGGATAGGTTGTCGAATAAGTAGCAGGTTAAATGTCTATTTTCCAGTGCCATATTCACCCCAAAACCGTTCCGTGTTTTGTTGGTGTGAGTGATAGACACAGTCCAGAGAAGACAAGTGTTGCGTTTCGTGCTACATAGTCACCTCCACGTATTGAAAAACGCAACAGATCACTGAACCGTCATGTGAGTTCGCGTACTCTGACAAAAAAGCGAAAATATTATATTTTTTTTGAAAACTTAGTGGACTACCCAGATGAGAGCCCCGAATTAAGCACCTGCGGCCTGCACGGTAGGCAAGTCATTCGGCAATAATCGGCCGTGCCGAAGGGGCGGAGTCGAAAATTTCAGACTGTGGCTCTGAGGACGCGTTTGCGATCGTGGCTGTCCCTAGCGAGTGAGCGTAGTTATATCCATCCGTTGTGTGGAATTTCTGGAACATCAGTCGAATTGTAAGAATGTGTGAAGTATCTGCTTCTTCTCAGATCCTGTTCCTCCCTCTACCATAACTATCACATGTCCAACTTATGTCAATTCCTCCCTCTCTGTCATCAGACCTACAAATTGACAATTCATTAAATTCAGGCTGTCTTGTCGAAGCCAGCAATGAAATATGTTTCCTCAATGTTCAAAGAAATCCTGAATCCCTGAGTACTTTAGTGCGTCTATTCATGCTTTATGTTTCAAGCACTTGTGACAACTACTCTCTGCTTAGTGCGAGGAAGAGAGGCAATGAAAGAGAGATATTAATTCAAAACATTTATTGGTAAAAATTACACTTACTCTAAATTTCTTTATAGGACGATTGAGCTCTGTTGAATCATCAACTAGATAAGTCCAAACCACCACAACCTTAAAGTACCAACATCTTTACATTAAGTGATTGAAAAGCTGTGGTAACAAATTTGTTCTTGCGTCACCGTTCTTCAACAAATTGTACCTAAAACAACTATCAAGAATAAGCTCAAGAATTGGTCCCAATCCAACGCACTCCAGGAATTTTTATACTAAACTATATTGTGTGTTTAAAATCTGAATAACTGACAAAACTTAAAATTCAATACTTTTTAAACAAAAGGAAAAAATGAACAAGGACAATTCGACTCTTAAAGCTGAATAAAAGAAAAACAGACCACAGACTTCTGAAAGTACAAGTTTCAACAAGAAAAAACAAAAGAAAAAAAATTAAGAAATGAAACAAAACAGAAAGGTTTCAGATTTATATCAACTCTTTTAAAAGAAAGTCTGAAAACCCATAGCTACAGCTGCCACATGTTTTCTGAAATTAATCTAAAGACAATATTGCAATTTAAACATTCACATAAACAAAAGAAAAAAAAAACAAGAATCAGAAAATGTAAACATTTTCAAATAAAAATATAAACAAGAGATATATCATAACTAAAATTTGAAATAATTAACACCACATTGACTTAGTCATCACATTACGAGCTTCAAGAATTTATTGCAAATGTCAGTCTTAAGAACTGTAGTAATAACCGGGGATCAATACTTATTAATACATAGTCAAGAGTGACACAAGGTGACAAGACAAATATAGTACTTTGCTCAATAGCATTTGATCTCTTGAAAGGTATACAAACATTCTCAGAGAAGCGCTAAGTAGGCATGGTTGAAGCGAAAATATAGGCCAGACAATCATCATGAGGTAATGGCACTAAACCTCTGGGACTTCACATTAGAAATGCTAGTAAACAGAACACCAAAAGCACATTTTTGTAGGACTGTAAGCCTGCACAACCAAAAATTCAATATCTTGAGAGCAGAAAAGATGGTGATCAAGTTACAGTTATTTTCTAAAATAGACTCAATGATTTCACTCCATTTATGGAGAGAGTAATAAAAATTGTGAAAGTTTTCAGCAAACATGGTTCAGTAGATTACATTTGCTATAGCTGCTCTCCAACAAATATGCAACACAATCACACAAACTTGGTTTTAGTGCTTTTTTATATACGTGCAGGAAATTACAAACCAATGGTGACAAATCAAGCCTCTTCATCCATAGGCTCTTCTTTTATATGTTGCATGGCTTCCATTTCTTCTACAGATGCCCCTTCTCCATCTTGATCTTGATCAGCCAGCGCTCCATCTTTCAGGCATTTATGCAATAAGTAACTGGACTTGAGAGTGAAGCCACGAGAACACATTTTGCACTGGTAGGGGAAGATCCCATTGTGGGCATCCATGTGCAACTTCAGGATATGAGCAAAATGGAAAACTCGAGTACAGATGGGACATTTGAAGTCTTTCAGTACAGTTTTTGGAACAACTTTCTTCTTTCCTGATATGACAGCTCTTATGCAAGAGAGTCTGTGATTGGAGAGATCTTGCTTTGATGCAAATCCTTCCCCACAGTCAGCACACCAAAGACTCTTCTCTTCTCCTTTAGACTTGGATCTGCCAATAGCACGCTTAAGCATACTTGCCTTTTGCTTTTTCTTCTCTTGTCTCTGTCCTCTTTCATGCTGGGATCGTTTCTCGCAGTGCATTCCATGCCGCTTGAGTCCTGATCTGGATACGAATCCACCACCACAAAGTAGACAATGATACTTCTTTTCTCCATCACTTTTGTGCGTTTCTTGATGCAACACAAACTTATGCCTGTATCGGAACATCTGCTTGCATTCATTGCATTTAAAGACCTTCTGCCCTTTAAATGTCTTGTACAAGTTGTAATCTCTTTCTTTCTGGAGACGTTCTTTCCTTTCTTCAGCAGATCGATTAGCACAAAATCTTTCATGTTGTCTTCTGTTGTACTCATGAACAAAACCCTTTGGACAGTAGGAACACTTCAATGGAAGCTCAGCTTTGTCATTGTGGGTTCGCATATGCAAAAGGAACTGATCATAACGCAGGAAACTTTCACCGCATTCATGGCACTTCTTGTTAGGATTTTTGCCAACTTTGCTTCTGTTGTACATTCTTTGCTTTCGCATTGCTTCAGCGCTTTCTTCCTTATTTGCTTCAGAGGATTGGGATTGTGCTTGACATACGACTTCATGGCGCAACAGGCCAGATTTTGCAACAAAGCCCTGTTGACAATAGGGACAGTGAAAAGGCATTTCTTCATCAGTTTTGTGGGTCAACAAGTGTTGCTTTAGCTTGAATTCATATACAAACGTAGCATCACATTGTTGACAGCTGAAATAAGTTTTTCCAGTGTGTGTTCTTCTATGAATTCTTAAGGCAGTGGCTGACAAAAATCCTTCACCACAGTCACGGCATACAAAAGGTTTTTCTCCAGTGTGGTTGGCGCGATGAGCACGGAAGTTCATGAACTTTGCAAATGTTTTACCACAATCTGCACACTTATAGCATTCATTCTTATCTTCCTCTTCTATGATCCCATGAGTTAACATGTGCAATCTATATTCACGTTTAGAATTAAATGGTCTATGACAAATGTTGCAGTAAGGTGTGTAACCACAATCGTGAATCTCAAATGACTTAGCATGAAGGAAAAATAATCCACACATCTTACAGGTATTCTTCTCATGATGTTGTAAGTGACGGCGCAAATTTGTCATGGTGGTAAAGTTTTTGTTACATTTCAAGCAAACAAATGATCGTTTCCTTGCATGTTCCATCATATGAATTTTTAAGTCTTTAATAGTATGGAAAGATGTTCCGCAGGCAATGCAAAGGGGAGTATCATCTTGAGGACTATTAGCAAATTCACTCATACCATTCTCCAAATCGAAGTCTTCCTCAAAGCCAATATCATCAGGTGTTCTCACCATCTCATCATCATCTTCTTCATCATTAGCTTCTTCATCCTCTTCTGTTCTAATTAAATTTTCATTCTCTCCACCAGTAGACATATTAGTTTCAAATGTAGCTTCACCTTCAAAATCATCATCTTCATCATCGTTGTCGTCTCCATCTTCCTCTCCATCATCGTCATCGTCATCATCATCATCTAATCGATAATCATCACTTCGTTCTTCTTCCAATTCAGCTGCATGTAGATTGAGCATGTGATCTTCAAGAGCAGTCTTTGATGCAAATAGCTCCATGCAGAAGTGGCACTGCATTGTGCAAACATGACTCTGAAGTTCTTCCTCGGTGTCAAACACAGCTGTACATTGATTACAGGTAGTCTCTTCATGCTTCTTCATGTGAGCTTTGAGATCTTTGTCACCGCCAAATTCCTTTTGGCAAACAGGGCAGCTCAAATGTTTAGCACTGGAGTGATGATTTTGCATATGACGTTTTAAGTTACGTGGGCTGGAATATGTTGCATTGCACTTCACACATGCAAATTGCTTGCTCTCTTCAAGTTTACATTCATGTTCTTTAAGCAACTCATCTGTTGCAAAGCGAGCCCTACATTGAATACATACATGGGGTTTACCATGCTTCTTCTTGACATGCCGCTCAAGTGCTCTTTTGTCTCGAAAATGTTCTACACACTGATTACAATGATAGCCTTTTGCCTTTTCTGCATTTGCTACTTCTATATGTTGCTTGCTGTGATTATCTAATGAACGGCGATCTTTGAATCTAAGCCCACATTGACTACATGGGTAACCTTTCGATTGATCAACAAATCTCTTCTCACCTTTAACAAATGATGCTGCATCTATCACCTCAGCAGTGGTACCGGGAAGAACTAATTGAGCAAGGAAGTGTTCACCAAAATCATGGTTTCCAGGGTTTCCAGAATTTCCAGCAGCAGCGTGTTTTGCAGCTACATGCTTTTTAAGTGACATTTCCGTTGGGAATGAGGCAGGGCACTGAGAACATTTAACAACAGACTCAATATGACTTCGCCGATGTCGAAGCATATCTGACTTGTGACGATATACTTTATGACAAACATCACAATTAAACTTAGACTTGGACTCTTTGGATTCAGAAGGTTTATCCTCTTCAGAGTTTTCTTTGATGGTGACTTCATCAGAATTAGATGGGGAGGATCCATTGGATTCCTGAAAATTGTTCAAAAAGAGTTAGAACACATTCCTTACAAAAAACAAAGAACTTCCTACGCACAGATTAACTATGGAATGAGATCTGATTTGAATGGTTTAAAATAACGAAACTTCAAACCACAGATGAAATAAGATGAGTTACATCAGTTTCAATGAAATTCACAACTTCATTCATTGGCCTTATAGGTCATTTTCACTTGATTCAGTGAAATCATTTAAGGAGGCCAATAAAGATCTTAAAAATACGGCAGCGTTTGGCGTATTTCAGAGGTGCAAATACAACTTGTAATGTAGCTAACTAATTGTAACAATAGTCTCGGTTAAAAAATGAATCTCACTGAGACTTCTAACCTACCTCGGAGAAATGATCCTCATTATTCATGGTCTGATTGGCCAGTTAAAACCAGGGAATGGCACAAAGACAATGCCACTATTTAGAGGCATTGGTTTAGAAGAGAAAATGTTAAAAAAACGGCCATTTAAGCATGGATCTTTAAAAACATGTGCCAAAATGTCAACGCAGCGTCAACGTGCGTCAGCTGACCGTCCCTTGTTTTGCCCGTAGCTACAGCAGTGCGTGACTGTATGGTAACGCATTTTGCAGCCGAACAATAACCGCCCCATATTCCAACTGTAGAAAATATTTAAAAAACAATTTGTAGAGTTTTACGGGCGTCAACATCGTTTGCAGTAGAGTTTTTCCTTCTTCCAAGTCCTCAAAACTGTTTTGAAAGTGGTCAGATATGAGACTCAGATGTGTCCAGTCCGCCAGGCTGAAAGTTGAATGTACTTTCAAAATTGATGCGAGGTTCGGTCGGTGATGGCGGAATGAACCTCAGGGTTATAATCAATCTGTAATATCCCTGAAATAAAGCCGCTTCATGTTGTCTGCCATCGTTTTGTTATTTTAATTTATAAGATGTCTAGATATAACAGTAGGTAGGTACCACAGACCTTTCTTTTTTGTTGATTCCCTTGTTCATTCATGGTGCATGATTGTGCCGCCCAACCATCATTCTCATCTAACATCTTCTTGAAATACCACTTCCAAGTTTTTAACAAATTCTCCCCATACTGCAAAGATGTACCTGCAGCTCAAAGAATTTTCTCTTCTCTCCTGGCCGAGGCAAATGACGCTCTACTACATGCCATATTATTTGTGTTAAGTTAGGTTAGAGCACATAGGCTTTTGCCAGCTAAGCAACATCATGTCCTTCTATGGTCTTAATTTTAAACCCAATGAGTAGAAAACAGTTTATTTGGGGTTTGGGAGTTCATTCTTTGGATTGACCAACATCGTCAAATCATTATAGTTGATTCTTATTTCTGTCATCTGGTTGCCAAACTCCTGCTGTGTACATTTCTGGTTTCCTCTCTTTATGTGTTCCTCGGTGGTTTCTTCTTGGTATCTTTGTAGTCTGCATCTCTCCTCTGTAATTAACTGGGCTTGTATTTTGTTTCAGATGTTGGAGACGGAGTGACTTCTGTGAAGTCCTTTCCAGTCATTACCTTATGTCAAGCTGAACATTTTATTCCATATTATACTATATTGTTTTAGTCATCCGGACCGAAATCTTCCATAATGTTAGAAACGGCTCATTTCAACTCTCCTCCTCCCAATATGGGGATGCCTCCACCCATGGGTGGGCCACCAAATTTGTCATTACCACCACCAAATATGGCAGTCCCACCACCAAACATGCCGGGACATCCTGGTCATCACTACAATCGTTACAACAGTGGTGGCCCTCCAGCTGGGATACCACAGCAGGGACCAAGAGGTCAACATTTTTTTCAACCTTTCCGTCCATACCCAAGGCCAACTCTTGACCCTGAATTTGATGGGAAAAGACTGAGAAAATCAGTGATGAGAAAAACTGTTGACTATAATGCTGCCATTATTAAATTGTTAGAAGTGAGTAATTTTTTGTTGGATGAACGAATTATTTGGTACATAGGCATTGTATCTTTAATGTGCCAATCTTTCTTGATAGGCAAGAGTGTGGCAACGAGATTTTAGGGACAGGAGAGCTCTGCAACCGGACGTTTTGTATTACCCTGATTTACAACCTCCACGGAGTTATGAGGATAATCCCATGAATGCAGTAACAACAAGATTTGTAAAAACAGCTACCAATAAAATGCGTTGTCCTGTATTTTGTATGGCATGGACTCCAGAGGGAAGGAGATTAGTTACTGGTGCTTCTAGTGGAGAGTTCACTTTGTGGAATGGACTGACTTTCAACTTTGAAACCATCCTTCAGGTGAGATATGTAGCTCCATTGACTGAAAAAGTAGAAAAAAAACATCCTTAAGTCAAGTTATGAACCAGCATTTTTTAAAAAATCTGTTTTTCCTTCTTTTTTGGGGGGGCAGGGGGGAGGGGGATTCTGATTGCTGACTTTAAATTGAAACTATCCCCGTATTATGTTTCAGGCTCATGACTCCCCGGTCCGCACCATGGTCTGGTCTCATAATGAGCAGTGGATGGTGACAGCTGACCATGCTGGCTACGTCAAGTATTGGCAGTCCAACATGAACAATGTCAAGATGTTCCAAGGGCATAAGGAGGCTGTTCGTGGCATAAGGTACTGCTCCCTCGCCGCCAGGCTGCTATCTTCTCATTGTATTATATTTGTTGTTGGAATTGATTGAGAAAAGGAATTGTGTGTATTGGTTTGAACTTTCAGAACTTCAAACATGGGTAGGCTCCTAGTCCCATACATATACATTAGACTTTCTGTCCCTAATCTGCTATTTTTGGAATTCAAATTCATTTCTAAGGCATACAGTACTTTCTCATGATGACACATTTGTTTGGTTGCCTAATTTATCAGTCTCACTCATGTCGTGGTTTTTTTTCCCCCACTAAAAAAACAAACAAACAAACAATAATAATGGGGGACTGATCCTGTGGTTTTCATTCTTTGTCTTTGCTGAATTCAGGATTTTAAACTTTATCAATTCTGCATGTTCTTTAGTGGTGATGGCTCTAGTCTGATTTTTAAATGACCCCAGACCTCATGCATAATAGTTTTCCATCTTTCAGTTATCCTTTTCAACCCATGGAATCTAAACATGTACACTTCTATCAACAATCCCCCCCATGCACTTATACACACAGAATGGAAACATCTCTGAAGTCAATTCAGTAAAATATGTCACTTGAAACTTATCCTTCCTTTCCATTGTTAGGATTTCCAAATTAAAATATACCCGTGAGTTTTAAACTTTTAATTTGAGTGCTAAATTTTTTTTACTGAATTAATGAATTAATAAGCCTCTAAATGTGATTTTGAAGTATTACAAATAATTTTTGGATTCTATAGGACCTCTGCATGTGGAATTGAAAATTCTGATTTACTAGCCCTGTAGGTATTTTGTGCTGGCAAACAAACACATTCACATTCTTCTCTCACATGTGATGAAGTTGAACCATGCAGTCTTAGTTTTGATTGTCTAGCCAATAAAACGTTTGCGTTTCTTGTGATCACCTGGTTAGCTGGTGTGTTAAAATGTGTTTGGGTCTGGTGTGCTCCAATAAAGAAATAAAGTGCACCTTGAACCTACCTTCAGGACACTACATCCTTTTATATTAAAGTATGTGTTCTTGACTGTTGTAACGAAAAGACTGATTAATAGTTACCAGTATTGTTGAAAGACATACATCTTTTTTTATTATCTTTATTTTGAGACTGAATAAAGGTATCACATTGGTTTCACCCAGTTGCCATTTTTTTTTTACTTGTACTAGATGTAAGTCTTGGCCTGCCAATAAATGAGTGATAACTGTCATTTCTTCGTAGTTATTATCACGTTGACCCGGCGCTTCTGGAATTTAGAGCTCAGTTATTATAGTAACAGTTATTACTTTAAATTGCACTTGGCTTATAATCTTGCAAAATAAATTGGGACACATGCAGACAAATCTATTTTCACTATTGGTTAGCTCAGTCCCCCTCATTTGGTTTGAAATTGGAAGGCTTCTAAAAGAGTGTACTACAGCAATTGCTTCTATTTTTATTTATTTTTTACATTGAAGTTGTGTTACTCATATCTTTTGTTTCATTTTATAGAAAAATGTTCCAGTAGAAGTTTTCTCACTTAGGCTTTCTTGGCATGACATTGTTTTTGATAGCAGCTCATACCAGACACAAATCATGGAGGTTCAAGCACATCCTAACTGAAAGAAAACTGTACTGTGTTTCCATGATGTAATTTCTTGACTTGCCCAATGAGCAATTACAATATTATCTTCTTCAACTCAGTATTTAATATAACATGGCATCTTCCTTCTTCACGTCATCTCTTCTCTATATAGTATTAGCTGCAGACAATCAAATTTTTTTTACAAAATTAGTTACTCTTTTATTTAATACCTTTAAATTTTTACTAAACCCATGTTTTTGAAGATAATTAGCATTACTGGAGATAAATGAATAAATTGACTTTTTTTAACTCTCTTTTATAAGTTGTGTGTCAAATGTGAGTGATCTTTTGTTCACCTCTAACCTGTCTTCCATTCGTCTTCTACCAACAGCTTCAGCCCATCAGATTCCAAGTTTGCAACATGTTCAGATGATGGAACAATTCGTGTTTGGGACTTCTTGCGCTGCCATGAGGAGAGAATACTACGTGGTTAGTATCTACTTGGCCCTAATCAATTCGTTACAATGCTAATTAACAGGAGAAATCCTATTTGATAGTAGAAACTCTCAAATAAGAGATTTTTATATTTCTTGTAAATAATTTAGTTTTACGACATTCTTCTAAATGTTTTCTCTTTGTTTTAATTTTTGATCAGGTCATGGTGCAGATGTGAAGTGTGTTGACTGGCATCCCCAGAAAGGGCTTATAGTTTCTGGAAGTAAAGACAATCAGCAACCAGTCAAACTGTGGGATCCGAAGACTGGTCAATCATTAGCTACTTTGTAAGTTACTAATAATGGCTTTAGAAATCTCCAAGTAAAATTGCATTTTCCAAACAAATTCTTTAATTGGGCTTCCTTCTTTGCAGACATGCACACAAAAGCACAGTTATGGATGTTAAATGGAATAGCAATGGAAACTGGCTGGTAACTGCGTCACGGGACCACCTTCTTAAATTGTTTGACATCAGACAACTGAGTCAGGAGTTACAAACGTTCCGTGGTCATAAAAAGGAATCTAGTAGTGTTGCTTGGCATCCATATCATGAAGGATTGTTTGCAAGTGGCGGTTCTGATGGAGCTATATTGTTCTGGCATGTTGGGTGGGTATCTGGTCTGGTGTGAAAGTTGTGTTTCCAAATAGGCCTAGTAATGCAATTTTTCTCCTTTCCAATGCAGGGCGGACAAGGAAGTTGGGGCAATTGAACAGGCCCATGACAGTATAGTATGGACCTTGGCATGGCATCCTTTAGGTCATATTCTCTGTTCAGGATCAAATGACCATACTAGCAAATTTTGGACTCGCAATCGCCCTGGTGACCAAATGCGTGACAAGTACAACCTAAATAACATGCCAGCTGGTGTTACTGGCTTAGAAGAAATGGAACAAGGTTTGTATTTTGTTCTGTTTCACTTCTCTACCTACACTTTTATACTTGGTTCTTTTTTTTTTGTGATCTGTATAAATTAATTATGGCTATTCTGGAATACAGATGACACTGCTGTTATACCTGGAATGGGTCCGGAGGACAAGGTTGATAATACTCATGAGCTTGCTGAGTTATCAGTATCATCCTCTTCAGCTATGGATGCTATTCCAGGCTTAGATTTTGATATGGATGATAAGAATTGTAAACTGCCTCTCATCAAGAAGGTGTGTTGTTTTTTTAATTTGATGCATCTAGTTGCATGTGTGACTGACAATTATATCTCCCTTTATGACTTTGGTGTAGCATGTGGTCTCTTGTCTTAATGAACTTTTTCTATTAGTGGTTAATATTGAAAGAAAACAAAAGCTTCCTCACCCTCTTTCTACAGATTAACACTCTGCATGTAATCAATCCATTGTAATTTTTAATTATTTTCAGTTCCCTTGTTACGCCCTAGATATTTATTTTCTGTTTTAGGAAACCTTTTTAGATGCTTTGTGTCATAGACACATGGATGGAGAGCTTTTCTTTTACTCCCTTTTTTTCCTGTAGACTCTCAATAGTGATAGTTCTGTAATAAATGCATGAATATAGTGGGTTATGCTTCAGGGTTATGCCGGAATGCGATGGAACTCAACGGCCAACAACTCACGACGTCCAAAGGTGATATTAATTAAGCTTGTAGTGCTTTGTCTATTTTATTTACTTACATACCATAGCATGTAATAGATAGTCCGTTGTAGTTTTAACTTCATCTTCCTTGAAACACAAAAATTATATCACAGCATTTGTTGTTGACCTACAATCTTTGGTTTGTATTAACTAATATTGATTGATTTTACAGTACTGCTCTTTGAGCACATATATTTGTTTTATGTTCGATTTTTTTCAAACCACTTTGTAATTGATATTTCTTCTTTCTTAAAGGTTCCTTATTCCAAACCGATTCCTAGGAATTTCCAAGCGCAATGGAATGATACAGCTAAACCTAATTTTGATGAAGGTATGTCCTTTAGAGCTTAGCCCCAAACACTTTCCTTGAGATTTTTTGTTTTTGCTCCTGGTCTATGCATTGATTCTCTAGGAAGGAATTTGCGCTCAAAAGAGTTATCCAGGCAACCATGGCTGCCCCCACCTCGCCGTGGAGCTGGTCCTGGCTACCCCATCTACCCTGCCCGCCCTGCCCGCCCTGCGCCAAGCGCACCCGCCCCACCTCCCCTCCCGGCAGTGTATCTTCCTCCCTTTGCAAGTGTTCCCCCATATGCCTGCCACCAGCCCTTCTTTCCATTTCCAACTGCATTTCCAACTGAATGTTACAACCATCCAACGATGGAAATGTTGCCCTGCCATGATATTCCCAGGAACTTTTATCCCAATAATTTTGAACCTTTTGAATCGGGATTTTATCCAGTCAGTGAGTGAATGTTAAAGAAAAGTAGATTCTTCCCCAACTCTTGCCCATCTTGCCGTCATAGTTGAACGTATAATCTTGTGATATCCTGTTTCTTAATCTTATGGCGCAATTTGTTTTTAATCTTCTAGAAAATGGAGATGATGACTTTAACTGTGAAAATAGAGAAGCTGATCAAGATGCTATTGCTAAAATGATACAACAAATTGTGGAAAAGGTACCTGGTGTAGTTCCAGTAACAGAACTAGAACCAACAGCCCTCTTCATGTATGGAAAAGTTTTACCTGTTACTCGTAAGTATTATACTGACCTTAAGTACTTTTAAAAATATTTCTCCTTTGTTTTTAATTTTTTTGTTTATCTCAATCGTCTTTTCTCACTCCAGCGGATTCGGTTCTGTCACGCACTATTGGCAATGGTGCTGATGCAATATATCGGCTGATCAATTGTGGTGCTGTAGAAGACTTAGTTAATGATATTGCTCATGATGAAAGCACCCAGTATTACCATGAAGATCCTTCAATTGACAGTGAGCTTCGATCATTGAAAGCCTATGAACTCCCTAGAAGACCTCCTTTGCTATCAACACCTAATATACCTCCTCAAAAATTGGTATGACTCTTACAGATTGTTTGTTTCTTCCTCTATTTATTTTATCATCCTATGGAGTATGTTGTATTTTGTGAACGTGTTGCTTGCAGCCGGATAGGAGCCGTCCCAGGGGTCGTGGAAGAGACCGAGACCACGGTCGAGGGCGTTCTAGGGGCTCTCATAATGATGAGGACGAGGAGGACTACCGCGATGGGCAGGGCGCGGACTACGATGAGCAGGACGACTACTACGAGGGCTACGAGGAGGACGACTCTGATGCTATCCATCAAAGGTTTATGAGTGAAGAGGAGGAAATTTACAATTCAACTCTGATTGACCAAGAAAATGCATTTGGAGATCAAGATTTGAGAGATCCGCGAATGTCCGGACGGTAAGGAACTTGAGAGAGAATATATTTTTTACAGTTCATGTAGCATCCTACAAATTCATCTCGTTGATCTTCTTCAGGGAGTTTGGTGATCAGGACTTGAGAGGTCCAGGCAATGGTGACAAGGACATGCGGCAGTCATCGCAACCTGGACCTAGTCTGTTGGGGTTGGCTCCAGGCATCCCTGCTGGTGGGGGAGTCCTGGGAAGGAATTCCACATCAGGCCCATTCATGAAGGATCACGATCTAAGACGATCGGGACCCCTAATGGTGAGTGAAATATTTCACATCCCTTTGAGACACAATTGTAAATTATTATTGTTCTGACCTTCATGTTTATCTTTCCTTGTTGTTTCTTAGGATCCGCGTGACCCGCGAGACCCCCGCGAATCTCGTGATCCTCGAGACCCTCGTGACCCTCGCGACCCTCGTGACTCTCGTGACCCGCGTGACCCTCGCGACCCGCGTGACCCCCGAGAATCGCGAGACCCACGAGACCCGCGCACTCAGCACAGCGCCCCGTCCGTGCCCGCGGCCGACGAGGAGCACCAGGGCGAGGACCGCGACTACCGCCGTTCCTCGCGGCCGCCGCTGCTGCCCCACGCCGCGCACGGCAACCCCGGCGGGCTGCTGGGGAAGTTCCCCGTGCCCGGCGCGGGGCCGTTCGCCGGCAAGGCGAAGGACACGGACTACCGCCAGGCCGGCGCTGTCGACGACGGCCGCCCGACCGACCCCCGCAGGGGATCTTCCGGCGCAGGCGCCGGTGGTCTGTACCGCGGCAAGGACGACTACGAGGACGGCGAGGAGATGGACGAGCAAGGTCGCGGAGGGTACGGCGGCAGCCGCTGGGGCGGCGCTGCCAGCAGCCTGGGGGCGGAGGGTGGCGACGAGGACTACGATGACTCGGCAGGCCCAAGCCCGGGCCGGTGGGGCCCTGGCGGTGGCAGTCGCGGCCGAGGCCGGGGGATGCGAGGCAGCGGCAGCGCCGGCGGCTGGGAGCAGAAGCGGCCCGCGCAGCCACGCGCACACGGCCTGCTGGAAACGCCCCGAGGGGGGCTGCTCGCCACGCCCAACATGCCCCCCATGCACGAGCAGGAGGACGACTACCACGGCCACCACGGCTCCAAGAGGCCGCGGCACTGGGAAGAGGACGAGGAGCACCACGAGGACGGCGACGACGCCGAGGGCGGCGGCCATCGCGCAGGGTACCGAGGTCGAGGCCGCGGGGGCGGCTGGGGCAGCTCCTACTCATCGTCGCCGAGGGGCGGCAGGGGTTCCGGAGGCCCCATGCGGGCTCGCGGCAGAGGTGGCCGGCCTGGAGGACCCCCTCGAGGTCGCGGAAGAGGCCGTGGCGGATGGAACTAGCAGAAGGCTGCCACCAGTGCTTGCCTTCATTCCTTTGTTGTTTTTTTTTTTTGTTTTTTTTTATGGTAATTCTTTTTTTAAAATTGTGTACCTTGCATTTGCGTCGCGATCGTTCGCGTAAAACTCATTCCAGTTATGAAACTGGTGATGTGTCAGTTCTGTGTGGTGTGAGTTCTTCGTCACAGGAGGTTGTGTTGTTTTAATCACCGTGCACTACTGAGTGAAATGAGTGTGATGTTTGGAAACTTTTCCAATGTGGACATATTAGTTATGCAATCATTGTGCGGGGCGCTGCTGTGTATTGATATAGTTTTAGTGTTATAAAATTATCACCGTAAAGAAGAAAAGGCTCGCAAAATTGTGAATTTGGTAAGATTGTTTCGGAGATTGTTGGCTTTCTTTTATTTTCTGTCTAGCTGGTATTCCAGTGCTTGATTGCTGGTGATTGCACCCTCAAATTATCCATTTTACCATTTTCTAATGAACTCAAAAGCGATTCTCTCGAAGAAAGAAACGCATTTGGTATGCAAACCATTGTAACTCCTTGTTATCCTGGTTAGACAACGAGCTTTAATGAAAATGATGCACAAATGAAATTAAGCATCATATTTTGTGAATGAAGTGCCCGAGGATCAAAGTCAACGCGATACATGCAGTCTAATAAAAATATCTTATTTAATTTAAAACCTTTAAATCTACAACAATGATAACACCCAACATTCCCTCCTTCTCTTAAAGTCTTTTCTCTTCTTTTTTTGTCCCGCTTCACGCCGTGCTTGAGTGCCGCGGTTGGATGCGCAGGTTGATGCCGCCCTCGGCCGTGAGCACGAAGCCCTTGGGGTCGAAGCGCATGGGCACGGGCAGGCTGGGCGACGGCAGGAGTTTGTAGTGCTGCAGCAGGCGCGCCAGGCCCAGCTTCATCTCCACCATGGCGAAGCGCAGCCCGATGCAGATCCGGGGGCCCTCGCCGAAGGGCAGGTACGCGAACGGGTGCCACGTCTTGCGACCTTCCTCGCTGAAGCGCTCCGGGTCGAAGCGGTCCGGGTCCGGGAAGATGTCTGGGTCTCGCTGGATGGCGAAGGTCGGGATGAAGACCTGGGAGCCCACGTCCATGTGCACCTTGGTGCCGGGCACGGTGTAGGGCTTGGTGCACACGCGCACCAGGCCGGGCACGGGCGGGTACTTGCGCATCGTCTCTGGAAGGGGAAGCTTGGCGTCAGTTCAGTTGGTCCTTGACAAAACCGACAAGCGGGGTGCCTCACGCGCCGCAATGTGCCTTACCCAGTAGGACCTTCTCGATGTAGGTCATCTTGGCGACGTGCTCGTAGGTGATGGGCTGGCCGTCCAGCTCGGCCAGGATGGCGTCCACCTCGGCGCGCGCCGCCTCCTGCACGTGCTCGTTGACGGCCAGCTCGTACACGCAGAAGGACATGGTGGACGAGGACGTCTCGAAGCCCGCCACGAAGAAGATGAACACCTGCGCCGTGAGGAGTCGGTCGTCCAGCACTGTGTGGGGAAAGAAAAACGGTGACGGTTTTCGTTTGGCTCGAAATGACCCAGTACCGCTCCCGCGATTCGACTCACCGACAGCCTCCTCCTTGGCGACGTTGTCGTTGACGTCCCGGTCGGCCTTCTCCTGCTGCCGCAGCTGCATGAGCAGCTGCATGAAGTCGTTGCGCGTCTCGCCGCTCTTCTCCCGGAACTGGATGACGTCACGCACGAGCGAGATGAAGAAGTCGGTGATCTCCTTGCTGACGGTGCGCAGGTGCAGCACGCTGAGCAGCGCGGGGAAGAAGACCCTGGTGAGGTGGGTGGCGGTGCGCGCGTAGGTGGGCAGGAAGACGCGGCGCCCCATCTCGCGGAACTGCGAGTCGGGGTCCTTGAGCGTGTTGAAGTGCAGCCCGAAGGCGCACGAGCCGATGACGTCCGTCGTGAACTTGGCCATCACCTCGCGCATCTCCACCTCGCCGTCCTGCGCCGACGCGCCCACCAGTGCCACCAGCGAGTCGGCGCACTCGTTGAGCAGCGGCACCATGCCCTTGAGCTTGACGGCGCTGAAGCTGGGCGTCAGCTTGGTGCGCAGGTTGCGCCACTTGCGACCCGACAGGTTGACCAGCGTGGCGCTCATGGGGTCGCGCTCAACGTCGCAGAAGATGCCGCGGTCGTGGAAGTGCGCGAAGTCCTTGACGAGGAACTGCTTGATGACCTCCGGGTCGCGCAGCATGAGGGATGGTGTGCGCATCTGGTAGATGCCGGCGTAGGGCAGCCCGTCGAAGTGGTGGTACAGCTTCTGGTAGCCGTACACGTGCAGCGTGCGGAAGGTGACGATGTCCTTGATGTTGCCGAAGAGGATCTTTGGCGGCAGGTGAGGCACGCCGCGCTGCGCCCAGTGCGAGAACGTGCTCGTGGCGTAGTAGTACAGCAGGCAGGCCAGCACGGCCACGCCCAGGAGCACCTCGACCAGCGCCATGGCTGCAACAGAAACAGTGGAGTGGATCAGGCTCGGAGCGCCTGTGAAACGGGGGATAGGCCGCCGCGCGACACCCGTGTGCCCAGCAGCCGCTGGGTTGCCTACCTCGCAGGCGGCTGACCCGCCGCGGCGCGCCGCCGAGTTCCCAGGAGTTTAGAAGAGCCCCGAGGAGTGCCGAGAAGTCCCCAGGAGTTCCAAAGAGTTCCCAGAGGACACCCGAAGTCTCCGTGCAGAGACCCGACGAACCCGAGGGGAAAGTGGGTTTGGAATTGCGGCGCTGCGCGGCGGTTTTTGTTTTCGATTTTTGGTCCTCCAGTCAAGCCAAGCCCTGCAGCCCACACCTCGCGGATCTCGTTTCGTTTCGCGTTCGCTCGCCCTTTCTTCCCTCCCTGCGGCAGGACCCTGCCCCTCAGGATACTGACCCTGTTGGTCTGACCGGCGGAGCCTCTGTGTGCAGCAAAGGGAAACTTGTGTGCTCAACGAGTCGGGAGTCTCTCGCTCGAAACTGAACACATACAGAAGGACTGTTCTTACGCCACCGAAATTTCTCCTAATCACTTTCGGGAGTGGGTCAGGCGCGTTTCCTTAATGTTTGTCGCGCTAAGATTGTCACGCTGTTTGTTGTCGCGATATGCGGAGCGAATCGGGACGCGGATAGAGGAAGGTGGAGGGGGGAGAGGGTCAGTGTCTGATATCATGTGTGACGAGCTCTCGTCGGCGAAGAGTAAGACCGCCTCCAAGTAGGAAGTTTTTAAGCTGTGTGCGCCCGCGTGTGTGCGCGTACATGCACACGGCGCAAAGACCGCTCGGAAAAAAAATCGAAAGTTTCCTGCTCTTGCTCGCTGGCTGCAGCGTCAAAGCAACCTGTGTACCCGCTCCGCGTATGTCACCAGGAGGGGAGGGCAGGCCTGGAGCCTCAAGCAGCTGGGCCGCTTCAGTCTGGGCTCAGTCTGGACTCAAGCAGCCGTTTCCCAGTGGAGCCGACGCGGCGTCTGGCTGGTCTGGGTCGTCCGCCGTCGTCCGTCTGCGCCGGACCGACCCGGGGTGTTTCGGGGGGGAAAAAGAAAGCTGGCCCGTTGGAGGCCAGCCAGCCCGGCGTCAGCGCGTCAGCCTGCCGTCCCTTCGATCCTTATGGGCCACGTGACCTCAAATTATGACGTCACAGAGTGACGTGAAGCCGGCCGTTTGGTGTGTCACCGGCGTGGCCGCGGTGGTCGGGCCTGAGGTCATTTGTGTTGTGGTCCAGCAGTCAATAGCCGTATAGCAATAAAACCGGCGCGCCGGCCCACAGCTTGCAGGCGGCTCCAGACAGAACCGCGAGCAGGGGCAGGGAAAATAAGCAAAACCTCCTGGGGGAGCTCCCCGTCAGCGTCGGCAGGTGGAGCCACTGGCTCTGGAGGACAGAGCATCACTGATGCAGCACAGGCGGTGGCAGTACGTTGTACAAGGACCGCAAGGACTACCTGGACTGCCACGGCGCCACGGGGACCTAGACCGGAACTAACCGGGCGCGCGTCGCGTCGCGTGCCAAGCCGCCAAAGCCGCGGCGCCCGGCGCGATGACAACACGTCGGCGCGCGCAACGAGGCGACGAGGCGACGCGGCGCTGGAGAAAGGTAAAGGGGAGGCGTTGCACAGTGGGCCAGAAGACCGGTGGAGGCGGCCAAAACTCTCGACGCGTTTTGAGCACCAGAGTCGCTAAATGGGACTCGAACCGAACGTGTGACCCCACCAATGGATTCCTCGTTCGGAGAGCAATCCATTGGTGGGGTCACACGTTCGGCTCGAGTCCTGCTTAGCGACTCTGGAGCTCAAAACTCGTCTAGAGTTTTGGCCGCCTCCACCGGTCTTCTGGCCCACTGTGCGTTGGCCGGCACCGGCGGCCAGGACGGCCAGGCCCGGCCAGGCCACAGCACACGACCAGGAATGCTCGCCACCGCTTCATCCTCTGCTCGTCGGTACTCACTCTATTATCGGTCCTGACGCCCGGCGACAGTGCCGGAAGTCGTAGCCTCACTCAGCTCGCTGGCACACTGGCCCGCCGCGACGGCCGGGACGCCTCACGAGGACGGCGTCGTCGCTGGGGGCGTGGCCATGGCGGTCACACTCTCGGTCGAGGCGGCGCTCGGTGCGGCTGTCGGCGGCCGTGTGTGGCACACTGTGGAGGCGTCGCGCGTCGCGTCCGCGGGACTCCGCAGGACTTGGTCCGGTCTGCCGGTCGGCCCCTTTCTTCTTTCGCCCGGTTGCGTGGCTTCGGCTCTGCTCGGCTCTGCACCGCTCGGGCCCAGCTCGGCTCGCCTCGCCTCGCGTCGGAGCAGTTCGGCCCCAATGATCCGGACTCCCGGACTGGAGCGGTGAGATTGAGATGATTTGGCGGCGCACCGTGCACCGCGCACCGCGTACTGGCGGCTCTGGCGGGTGGGCCAGGCCCTCGGGCCCTCAGGCTCAGGGCCCCGCCGGCCCGTCACCGCTCTCGTCCCCGCCCCGCACGCTGCCCGCCACCCCCGCCATGTCGAGTGCCCCGCGCAGCCCGCGGCACCGCCCCACTCTACCCGCCGCCTCCGGGCAAGGAATCGCTGCTTGCGACCCGGAGACTGATTCGGAGAGTCCGTTTCGTCACTCTGTCTCTCTCGCACCCAAACGGAACGCCCCATGAGTGCGAGAGAGACAGAGCGACGAAAACGGTTCTCGGAATCAGCCTTCTCGTTGCACCCGGCTCCCTCGCCGCCGTACTCGCAGACTTGACGGCGACGCCGCTGCGAACCTGCCTCGTCGCCGTCGCCGCCGGCAGGTTCTGCTCCTTCTGGTTGGAACGGAGGGAAGTCACAAATCCCGTGCGCAGCGTTTCGAACCGGAGCCAGAGGCGAGACCAGCCGCAGAAGAACGACGCTGGTTTCGGGAAGCGTTGCGCCTGCCCTTCGGCTGGTTCACTCGTTGTCCTTCGGTGAAGCCCTGTACATCCGCTTTCTCAGCCGCCCTTGCATCTCCTGCCCGCAGCCTCCACAGCCTCCACAGCCTCCGGCCGGCGGCATGGGCGGCATGGGCGGCAGCAGCCGACGCTGGGCTGCTCGCCGGCGTTGCGTCACCGAACACTTCTTCTCAATGTGAGGCGGCGGGGCCGGGCGGGGCGGGCAGGTGCGTTGGTTCGGGTACGCACGCCGCAACGCCGCGGCGGCGTGGCAGTGGCGTGGCAGCGCGATGTCCCGTTACGTAACGGCGGAACCGACCCCCTCCTCCCCCTCCCGTGCCCTGCCCGTCCGGGTTTCCCGGGTGGTTCAGCAGCACACGGATTCCGAGAGTAGTTTTCGTCGCTCTGTCTTTCTCGCACCTATGCGGGACGCCCCATGAGCGCGAGAGAGACAGAACGACGAAAACGACTCTCGGAATCAGTCTGCAGCTCGGCGCAGCTCGGTCATCCTCCGGGACGGAGACGGAACGACGACGTGGTGGGGCGACGCTGTCGGCCTGTCTCTCTTGCACTCAGGGGCGTTGCCTACAGGTGCGAGAGAGAAAACGACGGAAACGAATCTCCGAATCCGTCTGCAGTTCCCCATCTATGTATCCGGTTCCCTCCGTTCCGTCTACAATAGTTTGGGGGCTCCCATTGAAAAGAGTTCATTATGGCACGTACTTTCTCATGTGTTTGTATTTAAAACAAAACAAAACAGACTTACCGATGATTTGTGGAGGTGCATGCGTGATGCCCTGCCCGAGTAACCCGAGTGTCCGATGATGGAACGTCGTTTGAATGGCGCGCGCCGCTCGCAGTACGATGCTTATTGACGATTTTCCTACAATTTGACGCTATCCCATAAAATTTTGAGATTCTTTGAAATAAGTCAGTTAAATTTGATTTCCTGTGTGTTCTGCTTGGTTCTGCTGCAATTCTTTCCTCTTCCTTTGAATTATCAACTATTACATCGGTCGTACGTTGGTATTACTGAGGGGGTCGCAGACAGCTTGAACAGGCGAAGATCAACAACATTTTGACTGACATTGTTCGAAATTTAGACAAAATGGACAAACTCAAGTGCCCCTTGGGCCTCACAGGTACCAAATTTGTGACTTAGTAAAGATTATTATCAATGTACCCTGCCCTTAAATTATTATGTTTCCTTCTCTTTTGCGTACCAAATGTAACCCACGTTTTGCGATAGGTTATGTCGTCCTTGGTACTTAAATAAATATTCAGCTAAATTTTCTATATTATGAACTAACATTAGTATTTACCTCAAATTCTGTTTTATCGAATGTTACGTGAGTCCTAGCCAAAATGACTATCCTTCTTTTACCCTTTGCTAATTTTTGTGTTGTGATCTATTCCAGCATTATATCTGAAGTACAGCTCAGAAAGTTCAGGACAACACATGATCTTTGTGAAACAACATGCCGTAAGGGAAAGGCATCCAGACAAACCATCTGACCGTACTCTTTTCATGCTGAACATCCCTCCTTATTGCACTGAGGTAACGAATGATTAACAGTTACTCCAATTTAAAATCAGTTTTATTTAGTTCCGTTATGTCAGAATTTCATTGCTTTTATTTTGACAGGAGTCATTGAAGTTTGCCTGGCGAGAGTGCGGAGCTGTGAAGGCAGTTTTCTTTCATTCAAAGCCATCTGCTAGTGTTCCCCTGGTTGATGAATCTCCATTCTTTCCTACACATGAAGTGGTTAAGGTATTTCTCAAATTCATTACAAATGTGTTAAGGATCTCTTTTCATGTTAGTCAAGGCCTCGTTGCGTTTTATTGATTGTAGGGATTTAAAGTGGCTTATGTAGTCTTTGAAAAGCCTGAAGGTCTAATGCGAGCATTGAACTGGAATCAGGACCAACCTTTAATATTGTCTTCTTCAGAGTCACCTCTTTTGTGTGGCACAAGCAGTAAGTCAACCTCACAACATTTTTGTCTATTTGCTCTTATATGTTAATTGATATTGTTCCATTTTTTCATAATTAGAATGGTGCACTGAATATAATGCACGCATTCCTGATGTGAATGCAATGAAGGAGGATGTGGACAGTTATATGGCAGCGTATGACAAGAAAGTGCAAAAAGAAATAGAAAAGGAGAAGGCAGAAGGAGAGGAGGATGAGGATGGCTGGATAACTGTCTCTAAACGGTATGTAATGTGACATTGATGAGACTGACAATGAAGCACTGGTGAACTGTTGTTATTAACTCAATTTGTCTCGCCATCTTAGGGGACGTAATCCAGGTTTTGCTAGAACTGAAAACAAAACCAAAAAGATCCTTGCAAATGAGGACAAGAAGCGGTCCAAAAAAGAATTATTAAATATTTATTCCTTCCAAATCAGAGAAGCTAAAATGAAGAGTAAGTTTCTTTTATCATTACTAAGTATGTTTTGTATCTGAAGAAAAGTGTTGAAGTGTTTTTTTCTTCTTTTCTAGATTTAATGACTTTACGTCAAAAGTTTGAGGAAGACAAGAAAAAGATTCAGATGCTGAAAACAGCAAGAAAATTCAAACCATTCTAACTTGACTGTCACATTCTTTTTTTTTATTATTAAATTATATTTAACAGTATTTGTATTTACAAATTGAACTTTAACTTTTCTAAAACCACACTTTCAATATGACAGGCAGCAGACCAGCTCCATGCCCGAACCAAAATCAAAAAAATAACAAATTAATTTCCGATAAGTTGAAGTCACATTCATTCACAGTAGTTTGTCAGAGTAAGTCTTGGAGTAATATTCATGGACTGGAGCTCTTGGAACAGCAGTTTGCATGCATAGGGTATATTGATAGTGGATACTGAAGCAGAACTCTGACAGCTGTGACACCAGCCAGAGTACGCTAGTAAGCCACAAATATTGCATACATCAACCTTGAAGGCATCACTGGACACCATCAGCCTCTCCACCAGCATCATACTTGCACCATAACCAATTAAACAATCTCGTTCCATCTCTCCAAGCCGCAAACCTCCTTCACGGCTTCGGCCTTCCGTGGGTTGGCGGGTAAGCACAGCTCTGGGGCCACGAGCACGAGCGTGCATTTTGTCCTGAACCATGTGTTTCAGCTTTTGATAATAAACCTGCAAATAATTTCAAAAGGATAAGTGTCATGCTATCAGTCAAATATAAGTGTAACATAAAGAGTCAAGGAATTTGTTACTAACAGGGCCAGAGTAAATATAAGCCTGCAGTGGCTCTCCAGTTATTCCAGAGTAGAAGAAGTCCTTTCCTTGGAAGTTGAAGCCATGTCTGACAAGTTCTTCACATACGTCTTTTACTTTAGACCCACCAAAGGCTGAAAATGAAAGGGTGACAGGTAACTACAATTTGCAGGTATCTTGAAAGCAAGAGTGTGTGCCACGATATACTCTTACCTGTACCATAGTGAAACTTCCCCTCCATCAAGCCAGCCTTTCCAGCAAGCAATTCAATTAATTTGCCCACCGTCATACGAGATGGAAAACCATGAGGGTTCATGATCATATCAGGGCAGATACCAAGATCATTGAAAGGCATGTCTTCCTGCTCAACAATCAGTCCTAAATATTTTTTTTTAAAAAAAGGAGACATTAATAGAAAAGTGAGATGAGATAAGCCAGAACTGTAACATGAAGAACACACCTGTAACTCCTTTTTGGCCATGCCGGCTACTAAATTTATCACCTATTTCAGGTCTCCTGGTCTGTCTTAACAAGAGCTTTATCAAAAAGGATTCTTCATTATTTGAGGATACCATTACTTTTTCTACATAGGAGGGCACTGTTCCTTTGTACTGCACTGGAACATCCCTGTACTCAGGTTGAGCTTGTTCCCCTGGTCCCATGCTTGCAACTGGCATCGATTTGTTGACCATGACCTTCAAAATTTGAATTGAGTTTTAATGTAAAGTGATACAAATTTGTTAGTAACATTAAAAATTACCACTTTCTTCACCTGTCTGTCTTGGACCATCTCTCCTGGTGATGCTATACCATCAACATCTAAAATGTCGTGCCTCCAAATAGGTTTCTTTGAATCGGCATCTACCAAGGGGCCCAAAATTCTATCAAAAGTTCTATTAGGATAACGCTTCATGATGCATTTGGCATTTCTATAAACCAGACATCTCCCATAACCTGCAGCATTCAAAGGTAATTTTTTGCTAATTAAAATAGAAGGATACAAGCAATGTACAATTTAATAAGTTTGGGAAGTAAAATGTTTACCTCTGTCAATTGAAGCTTTATTCAATATAAGTGCATCTTCTATGTCATACCCTGAATAGCTCATCACAGCCACAGTAGCATTTTGGCCAGCTGGCAGCTTGTCAAAATTGGTTAACTCAATAGTTCTTGATTTTACCATTGGGGCTTGAGGATAAACTAAATTGTATAGTAAAGTGTCTATTCTATTACGCTGATTGTATCCAATCGTACCTTTAACAATTGAGTCAAAATTAATCACAGATATGTACTCAAATAAAGCTATTTAAAAAGAAAAGAAAATTGTTGGAAATAAAGACATACCCATAGCCTGTTTACCCATAGCACATTGATAGGTATTTCTGGGACTTTGATTGTGATGTGGATAAGGAACTAATCCAGCACACACACCTAACAGGGTAAATGGTTCTATTTCAAGATGAGTGGAGACATTTGGCTCTATTTGCTCCTCAGTCAAAGATATGTAACTGTCATTTTCTTCATTCACATCCAAGTATTCAATGAGACCTAAATCAGAAAATATAAGATTAACATGAAGATGGGGGAAAAAAAAAAAGACATCAAAGAACAAACAAGTGCATTCATGCATACCTTCATTAAGAAAATCTTCAAAATTCCTCAAGCCCTGAACAAGCTCATCTATATGACGCTGGGTAACTAATGGTCTACCATTTTCTACAATTATGTAAGGCCTGCAAAGTCTCCCTCCATCAGAGCTTATGTATACACAGGAGTGCTGGTGTTGAGGATAAATAGATATAAAGCCACTGATGTGACCTCCACGCCGCATCATGCGGAAGACTCGAACCAGCCTTATATAGTCTCTACATACCCCCAGAATATTACCTGTACACAGAGAAATGGACATGAGCAAAAGAAAAAAAAACAAAAACAAAACAAAAAAAACGAGGGGGACATCAAATAAGTCATAGGAACCAACTTACCATTCAAAAAGACCATGTACACCTGAGGACCATTGATTTCATCACCACCCAACAGACTAATATCTTCAACTCCCACATTGTATGCAAGACGAATAATGGGCCCTTCTTCGACCTCAGTAGTGATGTGAGTCATTAGTGCTAAATTTTTCACTAACCCACAGGCCTCACCTTCGGGCGTATCAGACGGACATAGCATGCCCCACTGGCTAGGCTGCAATGATCTTGGACCAGACACTTTACGGGACTTTTCAAACTGAGAATTTACTCTTGTCATCATTCCAAGTGCTGATATGTATGAAAGCCTAGAAAGGACTTGAGTCACTCCTTGACGTTCCATCTTAAATCTCTTGATGGTCCAATTTCCAGTAGAAATAGCATGTGCTAGTCCGTTCGATATTAAGTCTTGCCTCATATGTTTCACAATGTCAAACACAGCTGCTTTCACTTTTGGAATGTTCTTATCAGCAATGGACTTTAATTCAAAATTGAAACGTTTGAATAAGTCTTCAAACATAAGTGATAGCAAAGACCCAGCAAGCTCTAATCTTTTATTTCCATAGTAATCCCTGTCATCAACTAGTTTTGAATTTTGCTGGGCTTGAATTACCCTTCTGACCATGAGAGCCATATACGTTGCTTTCATTTTGAAATTAAAGCTTTTCACCTGGAATATTTTTGAAAAAATAAGAATAAATTGAAATTTATAAAACTAAGCAATGTTGAAGAAAGGATTATCTTCTCAAAAAATTATTCAATATTCACCGGAACATGAGCTAAAATAGTTGTAGCAAGAAGCTCTCGGACTTCATCCGCAGGGGACTTTGCCTTTGATGCTGCAGAGTAATAGCGTTTCTGACGCAACTTGGCTCCCAGAAACCTGAAACACAATTTGTATTTATTGAGAAACTGTACAGATACATTTGGAATCTTTACAGGACTGAATATGACTAACTTTAAAGCTTGAATTTGAGTGAAGATATTATTTTTGAGACATTCTTCAATGGATGGGGAAAACCGTTCAAGAGCATCTTCTTCTGTTCCAATCATTTGAGCAATTTCTTGATCACTCACTATACCCATAGCTTTAAAAACAATCACAACAGGTAGATCCTGAGGAAAAATCAACACAATCAAACAAGTCCATAGTTTTATAAAGTGGAGAAATATATATGAAGAAAACAACAGTAGTAACTTACATCCTGGAAAGTGTTGTGTTTCATGTAGTATTTACCATTTTTAGCAATGATATTGGTACGAGATTTCTTATCATGAGTGGAACTTGTCACCTGACACTGAATGCCTCCTTTCCTATCATCCTCAACAATCATGCGGTTACGTGACAGCTGTTCTTGAATCAGAATAACTCTTTCTTGACCTCTTACAATGAAATAGCCACCAGGGTCATGCGGACATTCATTCATTTTAGCTAGTTCATGTTCAGATTTACCAGATAACACACAATGTGAACTTCGCAACATGATAGGCATCCTGCAAATAGAGATCATGACATTACTCAGGGATGAATAGAGGCATTGAAATGTGTCATGAAAATCGAACACCACATACCTCCCAATTGTCAAATCCTTAGCAATGACTCGCTGGGTTCCTCTAGTGTACTCAACATCTACAGTAATGGGGGCTGAGTAGTTTAGATCCCGAAGACGACATTCATGAGGTGTTGTAGACTTTACCGTATCATATCCTTCCTCAACATTTGGCATACCCACAGTAACATTGGTGTATCTGTCAACAGAGCAGAATGAGATAAGCCAACAAGTTGATTAAACTTTAACAGCTCCGATAAAATTAGGTTGAGCATGACTTACTTCAGATAGAATGTGGGATCAACATCTGTCAGTACTCTCTCATTGGCTTGAACTATCTTTTTAATTTCAACATTAACAAAGTAATTAAAAGAGTCGACATGTTGTTTTACCAGCCCCTTCACCTTCAAGAACGCTGGAACAAGCTTCCACTTATCCTGTAAAGAGTGGAGGTGCATTAAAACAAAGAATTTATCAGTGTGGGTCAATCCAGTGCGATGCATCAGGAAATTCCATTGACAAGACGAAAGCACTATTTGAATATTTTGGGACAAAACCCCATAACCTTACGCAAGATCAGATGGCATTACTTACTTCCACTGGTTTAATTGGTTCACCCAATTTCCTTGCATCGTACTCATCGTAGGCGTCAGCCCTTCCTCGATTCGTTAATTTCCCCATGTTGTCATCCTTTTTGTTTACCAACTAAAATTAATTGAAAACAAGCAAACACACATGTTCTTTGAGTTCAGCCGGGCTGCAACATTGAACGATACATCGAATCAATGAACTTTTTTATGATCTAGCATAGCCAACCATCTTGACTAACCAAATGAAATACCTAAGGAGAAATTAGGAAGGAAACAATACGAATCGAGAGTTTAAGTATTGTAAAATAGTACAAAACACTATACAAGGCCTTTCATTAACACTAAAGCATGGACAATGATCAAAAGAAAACGCAGTTTTTATGATGGTGTTGGTCACACATCGACATTAGCGCCCTCTATCCGCAGATTTCTCTACTTCCGTCTGTTGTTGTCGCCATATTGTGGCAAGTGCTGTGTTGTTTGTTTTCATTCCCGTTGGAAATGTAAAACACAGCCAAAAGACGCGAAGCTTCTAAAGTTTCAACTCTTTAGGATCTTCGTTTATTTTTAGGGGTTTCAAGCGCTTTCTGAAACGTGGTGTAACGTCACTCTAGAGCTATGGTGGAAGTTAAACCCATTGACGTTTGTTGCAGCAGCGAAGATCCGGTAAGTCGTGCGAAAATTTGCAAGTGTTTTTTAGAACTATGTTTAGCCAAGAAGGTTTTATGAATCTTGATGGTCGTGGTTCATCACCTTTCTATCCATGGGGCTCAAAATGATACATTTTTACAATGTAAAGCTACATAGTAAGACCAATTCAGTGCCTTGAACCATTCAACTTTTAAGAGAAGAATTGATTCTTTAGGCCTCTAACTGTTCTGTGAGAGTAACCCTGTTAACAGCCATGAGTCCTGATTTGATGTCACCTGTTAGAAAGGTTCTCTGTTAAGCTTGTTGTTGCATTTTTTGTTCCAGGCGTTTCCCGCTCTTAATCTTGTCAGAGGTGCATTGAAGCCGAGTGACGAGAGAAAGCAATGGCTATGCTCCTCTCCTGATGAAAAGTTTGCCCATGTTACATTAACTTATGAAAAGCCTTTTGTCATTAGTAGTTTAGAAATTAAAAACAATGGTTCGGCATATGTCCAAGTGGAGGGAGGATGTTCTGAGGAGCCAGGGAGATTTAAGGTATGTTTACATTAGTTCTGCCTGTCCTACCCTAATTCTTTTATGTTTTATGAACCTCATAAATATTTTGTTTTTAGGTTCTTTGGAGAACACAAAACTTAATGACACCAAGTGAATCAAGGTTAGGCACTGAAACTGATGGAATTTATATATTCCTTCCACAAGACCTTGCAACTGCTGAAAAAGACAAAGTCTGGGACATATTAAAAATAACTTGTTCACAACCCTTTAACAAACTCCAAAAGTATGGTCTTTCGCATGTTGTTGCAAGAAGTGCCCTTCCCATCAAAGAAGAAATCCCCAGTTCTCCCGCTCAATGTGCTGCAGATTTACCTTGTAAGTCAACCACTACTGTAATTTAATGTTTCCTTGGAAGAGACTGGTATTGACTCTCAAATCTTCAGTAGTTTCAGGTGTCAAGGGAGAGCCAGTTGATGATGAAGCAGTGAATGCAGATCAGGCCCACAGAATATCCAGACATACTGACCCTCAAATCCAAATGAACAGTGAAGTATCATCGAGTGGTTGCACTGAGTCATCGAATCCTTTTACTTCTCCGGTGATTTCTCCAGTAATATCTCCAGTGAAGCAAGAAGCTCCCTCTGGGGATGGCATCTATTATGCCACTACACCGACAAGACCAGAGCCATCCTCATCAGTTCATGACCCTGTCCATGACTCTGTGCATGACTCAATTCATGATTCCATTCATGATTCTATTCATGATCCCATTCATGTTTCTGTTCATGAAAGTGAACCTGTTCGTGATTCTGGCCAGCCAACAATTCAGCCAGTGATGCAATCACCTTTAGTGAAACAGGAGTCTCTGCATGTAAATGCTGATTCGCATTCTGGTGATGATGTAGCACAGACAGTTAATACTTCTCCTTTGAAAAGGAGAATTTCGGAATCTGATTCAAACTCAGACTCAAATTCTGATGATGTTCAGATAATTAAAAGACCAGCACCAAGTAATATAATTTACAGACCATTTAACAAGCTCTTGGATGGAGTAAAATTTAGTATAAGTGGTTTTGAAAACCCTTATAGGGCTGAAATTCGAAGTCGAGCCATGCAAATGGGTGCATCTTACAGCCCATTTTGGACTGAGATCTGTACACACCTCATGTAAGTTTTTTTTTTTTTTTTGTAACCATTCTTATATTTGACTTGAAGCTCTTATCTGTTTACTCATGTCTTCTTTTTTTAAAAATTCCTTTGCAGATGTGCATTTTTGTATACTCCTAAATATCGACAGGCATCTGGGAACCATGGCTTGATAGTTACTAGGGATTGGGTTGATCAGTGCTTTATTCAAAGGAAAAGACTACCATGGAAAAGGTATTTTTATGTTTATTTAAACACCATTTAAGAAAAATATCTTAACAAATTTTTTTTAGTTTGAATGAAAACTAACTCTTCTTACTTTCCCAGGTTTGCACTCAATCCATCTGATAGAAGCAACGAAGGAGGCCTAGAAATTTGGGAATCTGAACCTAATGATTCCGCTAGTTCTAGTTCTCATAGCAACATGGGAACTGGAAATTCTCCCCCAAATACAGATAGGTAAAGAATTCTGGATTATTTAATAAACTATAGGAAGTAGAGTTTATTTTTAGTTTTAATTTTTCAATCTATTTATCTTAATTTCCTTGTTCTTCTGTGCTCAGACCAATGGAAAGTTCTCCAGTTCGAGTTATCTGTAGTAATTTAGCGGGTCCATCACAGTCTCAAAGTAGAGCTCCAAGTGCTTCTCTACACTCACCTTATGTTCCTGGTGTTAAAAGAGAGATGCTCGATTGTGGAGAATGTTCATCAGACCATCAGACCATTTCTCATGAAACATCTAGTCCTGAAGGAACCCCAAGGCACCTCACTATACAGAGTGGCTGTGGGCCATCTCCAAGCCGCGTCATTACAGTGAAAAGAGAAATAAATTCTGATGAAACTCAGGAGGTCTGGCAGGATGGTGGTCACCATGTACCCTCTTGTGCTATGAACAGTAGTAATGGAACTGAAATGGCTCATCATCGAAGATCTCGTACATCCACCTCATCTCCAAGGCATCAACTCTCTCACAGCTCAGTTTCTGCTGTCTCGGCTGCAAGTGTCGATGGGATGCAGGATGGGATGAGGTCCGCCCCACCGCCCAACGCTTCACAAATGGAGCCAGGACCAGATGGTTATGCTGGATATTACCGACCGATTAGTCAGCCTTGCGCTGTGCCTCACTCCTCCCCTTCAACCACCTACTTAGTCCCACCTGTGATAATGCTCCCTCAATCATTGCCTCAGTATTTTGTCCCTGTCTCCCAACAGTTCCAAGCTCCACCACCATCTAGAGATACTTACATGGTATTATTTAATTCACTATTTTTTCTTTTTAAAATAAAATTGCTTCTTCTTGTTTGTGTTGTATATACTGTTTATACCATTATGCTGAAGTACTCATCTTGCTTTGTTTTGGTTCTGATGCAGACACGGACAATACCGTCACCACAAGTACATGGGCAGCACATCCGAGTTATACAGCATTCTAACAAAGCAGCTAGTGAGGAAGAGAGCTCAAAACAAAATTAGACTAAATGTTATTCTTTTTGTTTTCCTTTAACTCTGTAAATTTGTATCTTTGTTCTGTATTCATATGAATCTTGTTTTTGTTACTATGTTATGATTACATTCAAATTAAATGTAAACTGGAATAGTCCCTCCAAGCATTCACCAAAGATTTCTGGTGCTGAGATTTATATAACTTCTATCATGTAATTATAGTTGTAAATGCTAAATTTTGTAGAGACCTCTTTGTGGTAGTAAAATTTGTTTCACAATTCTTGCATGTCACATGTATTCAAAGCAATTTTTCTGGATAGGTACTTGCTGTAATTAAAATATGTATTTAGAGGTACAAACTAACAATAGAAGAAGTAATGCCATGGAACAAGCTTGTGTTTTTACTTTTGAATAAACTGACCTTTTATCGAGTTGGTCTTTTTTCTTGCCCAATCCTCGTACTCTTATTTCAACTTCTCGAAAATAGTCTTCTTGAGATTTGAATACTGGACCTACTGAAGGACTGAAGGGGGGGAAGGACAGCATGCCAGACAAAGAGTGCACGGAAGTACACGCACAAACGGAGTCTGATAGCAAACATTTTCCCTACGCACACTTTGAGGTAATGCCGCGATTCCAAACAAAATCTGCGTGTTAAGAAAACTAGAGATTCAGCCAGGTGAGGTGAGGTCGCTCGAATCGAATCGACGGCTCGCAAGCAAACAGAGGAACGTCGTCTGCTAGCGCCAGGCCGCCATGTTGGATGCGCCCCGCCGGCTGCCGTGCGCACGCGCGGAGCCGCCGCGAGCCCTGCCCTTCCCACCGCCCTGCCCGCCCAGCCCGCCCCCCAGCGGTGGGGCCGCGAACTATCAGTTGCCTCCTGTCGTAGCGCCGAGGCGGATGTCTCGCGCTGTGCGTGCTTCATTTTACGGGTAAAGTTATCCCAAAAATGATGGAAGTGCCGGGATTTGTGCGTTTGTTTTGTGTGCTGGCCGCTGTGAGTGGGATCCTCGGCCATGTTGAGGTAAGTCAGCCGTCCTGGCCGCCGTGAAGGGCCGTCCGAAGCTGGAGCGCCGTGCGCTTAGCGGGAACCATGTTCGCTGTCATGCCGAGCCGAGTCGAGTCGGGCGCTCGGCTCGGGCGCGCCGTAGCCCCTTGCTTGCCGTGCGCGCTCCGGCCATTGATTTTCCAGCTGACCGTCCTCTCGGTTGGCGCACTTTCAAATTGGCGCGTTTTCTCCGGAATTCGCGGCGAGCTGGGTCTGCCCGACGGGGGATGCCACACTCGGCACCCGTGCAGGTGTGCGTTTGCCGCGTTTGGCGCGTCTGCGGTGGCGCGTCGGGCAGACTTGGCGGCAGAGGCGCGGCCGACCAATACCATCGCGATACGATCACCACATGACAGCAGTAATAGCTTCGAGCTCGACACGCAGGCTAAGCTCGCCGCCCACAAGAGCCACTTCCAGGACGAAAGGGAAACGTCGTCTTTGGGGTGCTTCGATTTTCGGACTGACACGGGCAGAAAGAAACCCCCAGCCCTAGGCGTGTCAAGGCCTTTCACAACAGTGGTGCAGCGAGCTTCTTTCTCTGTGGAGTGGAGGGACACTGGAGGGACTCTGAGGGAAAGAGAGGAAAGAGCTGGCGGCGTTCCGTGCCGCCGTGCTTCCCACATAGGTGTCATATTCCTCGGTTTGGGGAGAAAGACAAACGAAACGAGACGAATGCGAGGACGACGCGGTGGTCGGTGGTTCGCTGGAGGGAAGCGGCAGCACCACGAGCGCGTACCCGCAGGACGCGGGGAAGGCCCTGTCCGCGTCGTCCGCCCCCCGCCCTGGCCGCCCTGGCCGCCCGGGGCGTCGCAGGAAATGGGTACCTCCGCGTGCCGCGTGCCCCGCGTCTCAGAAAAGGGCCGTCCCGTCCCCCGAGAAGGAAGGGGAGATTAGAACCCGCGAACTTGCCCTCAAAGCCCCGGCAGCGCTCTGAGCCGCGCCGGCCTTGAGTGTGCATTACTCACAGGCGCAGCGCCGCGCCGCGCCCACGGAATAGCCGTGTTTCTGCAGCGGGCCAATTCCGCACAGTCGCTCTGTCTCTCTCGCACCCCCACGGGCCGCCCCGCGAGTGCGAGAGAGACGGAGCGACGAAAGCACTGTTCGGCAGCAGCCCACATCAGACTTGGATGAATCCACCCGCGAAGACAAGCCAGTCGCGCGGCCGTTCCGATTCATCGGCGCGGAAAGAATGAATTGATCGCGGCTGCAGACTGATTCCGAGAGTCGTTGTCGTCGTTCTGTCTCTCTCGCACTCGTGGGACGTGCCGTATGGCTGCGAGGGAGACAGAGCGACGAAAACGACTCTCGGAGTCAGTCTGCTGGAGCCAGACAGCCGTGCGAAGCGCCGAGCGCAGAGTGTCGCGCTGGCGGTGGACACACTGTGGGTACACGCGGCGACGCGGTGCGTTGCGCGTTCATCGGGGAGACAGGGACGACGTTGAAGGAATTCATCGCCACTCCGACCGGACAGCCGTGCGCGCCCATTTACGGAACGGATCAATCAGGGGAAGGAGGAGGGGCACCTTCTCCGCCGGGCGCAGCACAGCCAGCACAGCGGAGCGCTCTACATTGGCAATCTAGCCGGCCAGCCCCGGACTCCCCGGGCCAGCCATCGGCAGCGGGTCGCGGACAATGAGACGCGGACCTGGAAGCGCACTGGAACTGGAAGCTACCTGCCGGACGTCGGACCACCCGCGCCTCCCTCCCGCCGTCCTCCTGCTGCCTAGAGTCCCCTTCTGGCTCTGCTGACTGTTTCCGAGTGGCGGTCTGGTCTCTCTCTCGCTCTCATGGGGCGCACCATACCGGTGCGAGAGAGACAGACCGACGGCCGCACGGTGCGGAATCAGTCTGGCCGTCCCCGGGACAATGAATGGCTTGGCCTGTCCGTTTCCTGTCCCGATCGGGCGCCGCCGTCCTCCCCAGGGACCTTCCGGGACCTTCCAGGGACCTTCTCCGGGACCTTCTCCGGGACCTCCGGGTACAGTACCGAGAGGGACAAGCGCTCGGACAAGCGTGGCGATTGCAGGGACCTTCCAGGGACCTTCTCCGGGACCTCCGGGTACAGTACCGAGAGGGACAAGCGCGGCGATTGCAGGGGTTGCAGGGGTTGCAGAACTGAAAGGCCACGGCCTGAGTTAGCGAAGGTACGGCGGTCAGCATCGCTGCTGGCGGGGCTGGCGAGCAACCCTCGTCGGCCGTGTCTGCCTCAGCAAGAAGTGCACGCCCCTCTCCGGCGGGGCTGGCCAGGCCGGCCAGGCACCACCCCGCCCTCGGCGCGCCTCCGCGCCTTGCTTCGCCTTCGGGAGGGCCGGGAGGGCCGAGAGGGTAGATAAGGCTGTGGAGGGGCTCCCCCGCACCCGCCCTAAAAAGGCCTCCGCAGCAGCAGCCCCTTGCCGCGCGCCGCGCCGGAAGTTTCGGTCAGCGGGAAATTTCCCGCCCGGTCGGCGGACTTTCTTGTTTCGCTGCTGGAAGTTGCGGGTCCTCCGCGCGCTACAGCCGCGTTCGGTTGTTGAACGGTGACCTGAGTGAATAATTCACCAGGAAGTTGCGTGCGATGTTGATGCAGGCCGCGCGGCGCTGCGTGCGGGAAAGCTTAGCGGAGGCCCCGCCGTCGCCGCGGTGCACGCCGTGGCCGTGCAGTCTGTTTGGATCGATGACGGAGCAACGCGCAGCAACGCGGCCCCAGCGCCACGCCGCACCGCGCGCCAGCCCGTGATAGCCAACAAGCCAGGCACCGCGCCGTGCGCCGCCGCGGCTCAGCAGTCTGATTCCGAGAGTCGTTTTCGTCGCTCTGTCTCTCTCGCATTCATGGGACGTCCCGTGGGGTAGCTAGAGAAACAGAGCGATGAAAACGACTCTCGGAATCAGTCAACAAACTGGGAGATCTGGGTGACGAGGAAGGTCCAGGTCCAGGGCGCGCGGCTGGATGAATCGGAGCGCGTGCCTGCTGGCCGTGATGCCCATGGCGGTGCCTGATGCGCTGATGCGGGTCGTTTGTTGTTATACCGTCGGCAATTGAGCCAATCTGTCACCAACCACCGCCTGGCACGCCGCCCGGCACGCGTGCGGCGTGTGCGGATGGCACCGCGGGATGGAAAGGAGGGGGGGGGGGCTGCACCTTTGGGGGACGACGCCTCACATCACAATGCGCCGCGCGCCGGGGGAGGGGGAGGGGGGGAGGGGGAGGGGGAGGGGAGGGTAATTCACTGCGCCGGCTGCGCGCTGCGTCGTCGTGGTGGTCCAGGCCGCCCTGGCCGTCCTGGGCCGCGACGCCGCGACGACTCCACCACGGCGGCCCGTGTTGTGTCGCGGCGTCGCGGCGCCGCGGCCCAGGAAGGCCTAGCAGGCCTAGTCGGGCGCCGCCGTCGAGGCTCCCTCCTTGCTCCTTGGCGCGGCCGTGGGCGGGGCGGGGCGGGGCGGGGCGGGGCGCCATCGATTGCCTCGCGTGCGTGCCGCCGCGCGTTTCCGAAGCGGCCGGACTAGGGCAGGGATTGGCTTAGCGGAGGTCAGAAAGGGACTCGGGCGCGGCGGGGAGGGGAGGGGAGGGGGAGGGTCCCCTCAGGTGATTCTGCAGTCCAGATAACGGCTGCGGCTCGCATTTCGTGCAATAAAATTACCGCAACGTTGTCTGCGTGCTCCACGCTCGCGCGTGTGTGAGTGTTGTGTGTGCGTGCCGTGTGTGAGTGTCTGCCTGTTTCGGAAACTCGGGCCCGCACTTTGAGCGTCGTCTTCCGAGCTCCTCAAATTGTTTTCTCGTCCGTCGTTGTTTTTCTTTTGTTGTTGCGGGCTCGCGGGGCCCTCGCAAGGCCCTCGGGGGTCTCTCGCTCTCGTGGAGTCCGCGGCCCGTGGGTGCCCCGTGGGCCGCGGGCCCGTCAGCCCTGTCCAGCTGCCGGACTGCCGGACACAGTGCTGGACGCTCCAGGCCGGAATGCTGGAGTCTGGCCGGATGGTCGAGTGCGTGGCGGCGCGGCGGCGTGGCCGTGGCGGTCCCAGCGGGCCGGACCCTCGGCCCCCTCGGCCAGCCACGCCAGGCGCGGCGCTGTCATGGATGCCTTCGTTTTATTCTCGGTTTGAAGTTGAAGGGACCTCTCCTCTAACGGTCGTGAAGTGGCACGCGGCGCACGCGGTGTAGTGTTTCCCATGGCCAGCTGGCCAAGGGCAAAGAAAAGAGGGTCAGTCACTCTTTTTCGTTTGTTTTTGTTTGTAAGCAGGTGCGGGACTTTGGGCGGGTTTGACTCGGCATTCGGGCAGCTGTGCGGAGCTGGGCCCTCGCGCTGGAGATGTTCCAGGAAAGCTGGGCGCGCCGTTTGGCCATTTTTCTGCTGGACAAGCAAGGGGCGAGCGTGGCGTGTTGTTCTGACCGCTATTTGTTCGTCAGGACGCGAAAGCGCCGGTATTTGAATCCATTGTGCGAAGCGCCGGCGCCGCCCAGCCCCGCCCAGCGCTATGCGAAGCCCGGCCAGCAAGCCAGCAACCAGCACAGCGCGCTGGAGCCGCTGGAGCACCACGGCATTGTGGCGGACGAACGGCGAGCCAGAAAAGGCTTCACACACGCCTCGCTTCGCTTAGCGCAGCGCACCCCACTGGAAAATGATAACGCCGAGGTGCGAGGGTATCAGCCCTCTGTTGGCGTGAGTGTGTGTGTTAGTGTGTGTGTGGCCGTGCCTGTCTTTGTGTCCGCGTCGGTGTGAGTGAGAGAGGACGCAGTGTCCGCGTTGGTGTGAGTGAGAGAGGACGCAGCGTCCGCGTTGGTGTGAGTGAGAGAGGACGAAGCGTCCGCGTCGGTGTGAGTGAGAGAGGACGTAGCGTTCGCGTCGGTGTGAGTGAGAGAGGACGTCGAGGACGCTGCATAGCAGTGTCGGCGCCATGCACAGTCGCGGTTGTGTGGGTGGTGGGGGACACACAAGTGGATGACCCAGATGTCATGAATGCACTGCTCCGGTAATGAAGCGAGACGCACTCTGCCTCTCTCTCTC